TAAGATTGAGTTAAGATGGATGACGGGTCTCTTCAATTCTGTAAATACATTTCTAATGTGTAAGTATCATCTGTTATCATTTGTTCAGCTTTGCAATATTTCTGTTACAAAAAAAAATTAGTATAGAAAACAAAAATCGAATGTTTATCCAAATGAAACATTGGTCTGGTTAATAGTGACAAAAATGCCACAAGCTGTCTTTTGGTCAAGGTCTTGAATCATTTTCAGAGGAAGAAGTATGACATTTTAACTCAGAGACATTGCACAGAGACAGTGATAAAAGCAAAACTTACATGTTGACTAGTTGAGGAGAAGAATAATGTATGAATGCAGGATCATAAAGCAATGATTTTACATTTCCTTGTATTGTCTAGCAAAGGCAATATCAAACTTGCACTGCTTCCTAATGTCAAAGATAAATAAAGGAAGCAAGAAGAGATAAGTTTGTATTGAAATAGAAGCTTTTCATTTCCAAGTACTCCTTTTTAAAAAAAAAAAATTATTTATTTATTTATTTCATTGCATCGGGCTCCTTAGTTGCGGCTTGCAGGCTCCTTAGTTGTGCCTCTCCAGCTCCTTAGTTGCGGCACCAGGGAAGTCCCCAAGTACTCCTTTTATAAGTATAAACATTTATAAATCACTCTTTGGTAAAAATAAAATTTCAAGGGAAAAAGTCTTATGAAATAGAACCATCATCATTAATCAACTATTAAATAAAAGAATGTAACTGGGTTTACAGTCAGGAGATGCTTCAGATTTAATGACTCTTCTTTTATTCATTCAACTAATATTTGTTGAGGGATTATTATGCTCCAAAAAGAGAGAATACAGTACTGGATTGGAACGATAAGTCTTTCTACTCAGCGAATTTACATTCCAGTAGGGGCACAGACAAAACACAAGTAAACAAAATTTTAAAAGTATATATTTTAAGATGGTTATGAATAGTATATAGAGAATAAACGAGTAAAATCTGGATTGTTAGCTCACTAAGGATTTGGCACTTGAGTTGGAACCTTAATGAGTACTTCAAGAAGAGGGAACTTGAAATACAAAGTCTCTACAGTGAAAATGAGCTTAAAGTTCTTGAGGAGCAGAAAGGCTTTGTGGCCGGCAGGTGGTGAGTGAGAACAAGGGTGGGAGGAGGTGAGAGCAGAGGGTCAGCAGGGCTGGATCGAGCCCCATCTAGTAAGCTGTGACATGGAGACTGGAGGGTTTTTTTCCCATGTGTGCAGTGGTCCTCTTGAAGGGTTTAAATGTGGGAAGAGATATGGTAAAAAGCAAAATCTCTTCTAACCTAGAAAACCTCTCCCTGAAAGTAGAAGAAAAAAAATAATTTTATTATTGAATAACTATTCAAGCCGACTGTGATATGCACCGTCAATCTGCTAAAGGGATTGCAAAACAGAGAGAAATCTGCCTCTTTTATATGGCTAAGTAGAAACATTCCATGACATTAGGTAGGGTTTACAGTTTGGAGTCAGGTGACATGTTAAGCCCATGTCAACCAGGAAACTGGGAGATCAGGCATTATCTCTGATGATTCCAGTTTCAAAGTGAGGAAGATCAGAGGAAGAACATGGTGGCTTAGTCTGGGGTGAGGCAGTGGAGGTGAAGAGAAAAGAATGGATTAGGGTATTTGTATTAGTCAAGTTTCTCCAGAGAAACAGAACCAGTAGGGTGTGTGTGTGTGTGTGTGTGTGTGTGTGTGTGTGTGTGTGTGTGTGTGTGTGTGTGTGTGTGTGTGTATCTCTCTGTGTGTCTCTCTCTACCCATCATCTATCTATCTATCTATTATCTATCTATCTATCTGTCATCTATCTGTCAATATCTTTTTGGAGAGATTTATTTTAAGGAATTGCCTCGTGCAGTGGTGGAGGCTGGCAGGCTGGTAACTCAAGAAAGAGTTGATACCGCAGTTCAGGTCCAAAGACAATCTAGAGATAGAATTTCCTCTTCTGGAGGGGACCTCAGTCTGTTTTCTCTGAAGGCCTTCAACGGATTGGATGAGGCCCACCTACAGTATGGACTGTAATCTGCTTTACTAAAAGTCTACTGCTTTAAATGTTAACCTTATCTAGAACAAGAACACAAAACAAAAAACCTCCCAAAACAACCTTCACAGACCAAATATTTGCATTCCATGTCTTGGCCAATTTGACACATAAAAGGAACCATCATGGTATGTGTTGGGGTAGAGCCAACAGATTCTACTGTTGTCCTAGAAAGCGAAGGAAAGCTGGAAATCCAGATGACTCCTGGGTTTTTGGCTTATGGATCTAGGTGGATGATGGTGCCATTAATGAAAAAGAGAATATTGGATGTTTGCTCATTAAATACCATCATATTTAGAGTGAACTTAAGATGGAACTACAGACAAAAATTAAGTACACGAAATAAAAGTCAGATAAGTATAAAAATTCTGAAAGAGGAACACTATTCATGCAATATGACTTCCAAGCACCTTACCTTAAATGGTTGGTTATCAACTCGTTGGTTGACTGAATTTAGACAGTTACTAAGTGTTGGCCACTCAACAGTAAAATCAAATGGCTGAAGTAGGAGGTGGAAGAGAGATTTATGGTCGGGATGGTACTGAGAAAAACTGTGAAATGTGGAAGGTAAGTCTAGATAGGAAAATAACAGGTGGAATAGCCAACACAAATGAAGTGTGAAGGGCAATATAGCTGAGTCTACAGGTATCTATGGTAACATTTTCAGAGTTCAGTACCTTTTTAGATGAGCACATTTACATTTGTGTATGGTAATTTATCCTATAACTGTTTCTAAAGAACATTTTTTCTTCTTATTTCCTGGGTTTTACTGTGAACAAAACAAAATATTATTAACATTTTAATTGTATTACCAACGCACAGAGTTACTCATTTTGCCTCACAAAGATCAGGCTTGGGAAGGCCTTCAGTTAGATGGGAGGAGCTTGGTTGACACCGCATGTTCTGTTGACAGGCGTCAATCCCAAAGATGCCAGCAGAAGCAGATCTTCTGAATTCAGGCTCTAGTGAGTCCCGATTCCAAGAAATCAAACCAGCAGACATGAGGAACCCAGCCAAGGAATCTAGGCAGAGGTTCGAAGGAGCACTGAATTAGGAACCCAGGCAAGACAGAGGCAAGAGGTCTCTAACAAGTGTAGACAAGAGCAGATGCAGCCGGAGAACATAGTCTTTTCAGGCAAAGATCCATTAGGACCTTGAAGTTGATAGTCCAAGACTGATCTCCGAGTGTAAGTGGAGCCAACCCCACAGGGTGCTGAGGACGGTAGATAGAATTTGGCTTGTGGAAGCAAAGGCCTCTCTTAGTGGCACTGTGATTACTTTGATAATTTCGCTGGGATGACCTGATTGAAATCGGGATTAGCAGATGCAAACTATTGTATATAGGACGGATAAACAGCAAGGTCCTACTGGATAGCACAGGGAACTATATTCAATATCCTGGCATAAACCATAATGGAAAGGAATATGAAAAAGAATGTATATATATGTATAACGGAGTCACTTTGCTGTACAGCAGAAGGTAGCACGACATTGTAAATCAATTTATACTTCCATCAAATCAATTAAAAAAATAAATTGAAGTTGAAATCAAGTGTAAAAAAAATACCAAGCTCATTCAGCCAGACACTCAAACATCTGTGATACTATCCCAGCTCATTTTGAAAGAACCTCGTAAGTAGAAAGAATTTAGTTAAACTTCACAAAAAGTGTTTAATTTGTATTTGTGCCACAAAAACAGTCAGTTCCTTTCATTTGTCTATTAAAAAAATAGACAAAAAAGAAAAAAACTTTACATGATGAAACATGAAATCACTTTTGATTTAAAGGACAAAAATATGCTTACCAGATCTTTTTATTCTTTTTTTCTTTTTGTCAAGAGGAAGTTGAGTTTTGCCAGCTAGCAGCTATGTACTGTAAGCATAAATTATCTATACATACTTATTTAAAGTACCAGCCCCAAATTACAAGTATAAAAAAACTGTTATTTATAAAGTTACTCTCATAAATACTACCTTAAATGATATAAAACCTACATTTATTCAACCTTTACTGCAAACTTCACAAATTATAACACTATCAAATGCATTTTTGTATCTTTTTATTATGCAGAGGTTAGGTTGAATATGCCAATGAAATGAAAGACACTAGGTGTCCAAGTTACCTATTGTTGGATGGGAAAGAAAACAAAAAACTTCTCTCGTTGCCCAGACCTCTGGGCTTCCCAGAAGATACTTAGCTCACAAATTTGCTGGACATTATTATTTTTTTTTTTTTGCGGTAAGCGGGCCCCTCACTGTTGCGGCCCCTCCCGTTGCGGAGCACAGGCTCCGGACACGCAGGCCCAGCGGCCATGGCCCACGGGCCCAGCCGCTCCGCGGCATGTGGGATCTTCCCGGACCGGGGCATGAACCCGTGTCCCCTGCATCGGCAGGCAGACTCTCAACCACTGCGCCACCAGGGAAGCCCAAAATTGTTTTTTTAAATACGAAAAACCTTACTAATTAATGTCATGGTTAGAATCACTGGGTATAGGTTTCATCTATCTCAAAAAGGGTAGGGATAGTAGGACTTCAAAATTCTATTCCAGGATACACAAGTGTTTAATTTTATAAATTATTGTATTCATCCCCAAATTTGCTTTTCTCAGATGAGTATTATTTCTTCCTCCGTTACCTACCTTTTGTGTTTACTCCACTACAGTTTGTGTGCATTTAAGTCTTTTCATAAGGTTCCTTGTCTGAACTAGGACATCTTGAAGATGTCCAGCCACATGCTCCCAAGAGGCCCCTCAACCCGGTCTCTCTCCAGCTTCAGGGACCCACGGAGGGAGCAGAGCCGGCCCAGGCTGAGTCAATTTCAACCCTTTTCCTGTGATCACAGGTCTTTCAGGAAATGGAAACATTGAGAACTTTTGACCTAAAATATTGTCTTTGTCCTATGTATCCACTTAAGCATCCTTTCTTTCTTTCTTTCTTTTTTTAACAGACACTAGGCAATTTTTAATATACAATGAAGATCACAGGCGCTGCGTGGAAGCATTAACTCCCAGTGCAGTTCAAACTGCAGTTTGCAACCCAGACAGCGAAGCGCAGAAATTCCGATGGGTGTCTGAATCGCAGATCATGAGCGTTGCCTTGAAGTTATGCTTAGGGGTACCATCAAAAAGTGACTGGGTTGCCGTCACTCTGTATGCCTGTGACTCCAAGAGTGAATTTCAGAGATGGGAGTGCAAAAATGACACGCTTTTGGGAATCAAGGGAGAAGATTTATTTTTTAACTATGGCAATAGACAAGAAAAGAACATTATGCTTTACAAGGGATCAGGCTTATGGAGCAGATGGAAAGTTTACGGAACCACAGATGATTTATGCTCTAGAGGTTATGAAGGTAAGAAGCTTGGGATTTTTTTTTTTTTTTTTCCTTTCTGTCAAGTCTTTCTCATCTTCTTGGTTGGAAACGAATTCAAGGAAATAAGCATATTCTTGTTTAGTCTGGACTAGAAGAGTATTAATTGATTACTTTTGTGTCTGGAACTCTTCTGTGTTCTGTGAATGAGTAAATGTGGTTCAAAGTCCTAAATGATACTTTAGCTATTTGTGATTAATGAGAAGACATTTCTTGTAACTTTTGCTAAGATTTTTTTTTTAACAGTGGGTTACCGTTTTTAGAAATTACTTTTCACTGTAATCTTTGACCCGGTGTCTTCCATTTTACACTGTATGATTGTCGTGATAAGAGTTTAACGAAATGTTTCTTTTCCTTTGGTTTACATTACCTCTGAACAAATGATCCGTGGAACAACATTCTTTACCAATTCAGACTGTGTAAAATGAAATCTTGACAATTTTGGTTTCTAAATGTTTCTAATTTATTTGTTACCTTATGGGTATTTAGAGACATTATGTAATAATCAGCAAATTAGAAAAGCTAAGGAATTAGCTTGTAAACTAACCTTCAGCGTCTTTAGTCTGCTGTTTGAGAAAGTGGTAGCACCCGTGGGGCAGGAAATAATTGTATATGTAGTTGGTTCCTTCAACTCTTGAAGGTTAAATAAAATCAGAGTATCTAGTCTTCTCTCATCTTGGCCAAATTTCATTCTCTAGTGGCTGCACAGAAAAAAGATAAAACAAAAACCAAAAAAGAACTTGAAGCCCTTTACAAAGGCTTCTTGAGTCAGATGATGTTGTAACCACTTTCCAGGTTTGGACACTTGATTTCTGTGAAGTGTGATCTAGAACGACCTCAAGGTCAGAGAAAGAGTCTGCCTCTTGGGGCAAGAGATTAAGCTGTTTGCAAAATTACTGTGTTACTGAGGCTGCAAATGTTGGTTGAACTTAGCTTACGGCAGGTACGCAGATCATCGGAGTTCAGCTCTTTGCAAGGTGATGATCTGACAGCTTTCCATTTTCCTTCTATGTTGTATAAAGAGAAGAAGAGAGTAGGGACTGAAGAAGAGTGCGAAGCAGGGCTCAGAAAGAAGTTATCCCAAGGCTTTTACTGAACATAATGTAGGATTAGAAATTACCTAAGAGGCAACCTAAGTAACACAGCATTTCAGGAGAAACTTGTCGGAAAATTATAGGGCAGGACAAAGGTGAACCAAACTTGACTGAGTCAAATTCCACAGGTGGGACAATCGTTCTAATTGAGGAATCCAACACAAGGAAGTTTGGTGCTAAGAGGTCAGAATTCTCATTTTATTTTAAAAGATATCGCTGAAGTTCTGTAGTCCTCTCTCCACCCCCTGCCCCTACTTTCTGGTCTTCTGTTTGCTTTGAGAAAAATATGCATAGGATTTAGTATAGTGGTTCTCAAACTTTAAGATGCTTAATAGTCATCTGGAGAGCTTGTTAAAAATACAGATCCCAAGGTCCCCCCCCCCTAGATTCTAAATTAGCATATTGGGGGAAGGGCCTAGGGATCTATTGAATTATTTTATCAATACTGTGTGGCTGGATGCAGATGGTCCATCGACCACACTTTGCATACTCCCTAAGTCTCTCCCAATACTTAAGATGTTCCTGCTAGAAGATCTAGCCCTTCAGAGTGATCTTGCAATCGATTCATTGGAATATGCATTAGAAGTAAAGACAGTGCAGAGAGGATGTATGCAGAGTCTTTGTCTCTCTAAAGAACACTTGGGGAAGAAAACTGTCTGAGGCCAAGGATTTAATTTTGAGTGATCGACTCAGACTTTGTAGACTTGGACAGATCTGAGGATTGGAAGTGTGGCCCTCAAGAGGAAGAGTCAATTGAGTGCAGTGACGTGATTTGTTAGTCAAGTTGGCCTCATCAGTGCTTTGTTTAATAAATCAAGTTAGTCCTTAAAAAGCCATTTCTGATTGACATCTGTAAACTGAGCCCTGAGAATTCCTTGGCTAGCTGAATGAACAGTACCACTAGCCCTAGGTGGTCTTATCACGCTTTCTTCATATGAAGGAACAATGGTGTAATTATTACAAATCCAGCATGTTCTTTATACAGTCTATGATTCGGAAAATTAGTCCTGTAACTTAGTGCAACAAAAGCTAGAATCACATTTTAAAGTTACTAACAGCTGGGCAATTGGCAAAAGAGTCATTTTGAGGGAACCGAGAATAAACCTAGCTTTTAAGGTGGACAAAATAAGTACGAGCAAAGGAAAAGGAAAGGAGGTAAGTAGCTTTTTTTTGTTGTGCTCTTTACATATGTTAGATGCTGTGCTATGTGTTTTACAAATGTTATATTATCTTAGTGACTTTCAAGATGTCTTTAACGAACTTTTTAAAGTCATAGAATCTATGAAACTTAATTAGGAAAAGAGTATTCCTACCTAGAAAAAATTCTGAATATAAACTTGTCACAAGAGACTGAATATTTCAATATAGAGGATTATTATCACCCAAAGAGGCATCCCTACAAAGGTAGACTGAACATACTGGAGCATTTAGCTACTTGAGTGGTTTGGTTGTCAATGGACATATGAGCTTCCTTTTGACTTACGCCAAACTGTGATCCATAACGATTCTCTCTATTTTTTTTGAAATTAATGTATTTATTTGGGCCGCGTTGGGTCTTCATTGCTGCGTGCGGGCTTTCTCTAGTTGCGTCGAGCAGGGGCTGCTCTTGCCTGTTGCGGTGCACAGGCTTCTCATTGTGGTGGCTTCCCTTGTTGCGGAGCACAGGCTCTAGGTGCATGGGCTTCAGTAGTTGTGGCTCGCGGGCTCTAGAGCACAGTCTCAGTAGTTGTGGTGCACGGGCTTAGTTGTTCCGTGGCATGTGGGATCTTCCCAGATCAGTGCTCGAACCCATGTCTCCTGCATTGGCAGGCGGATTCTTAACCACTGCGCCACCAGCGAAGTCCACAATTCTATATTTGTTTCAACTTTCCTTTCTAGGTGAACCTAGAGTTTCACATTTTGATCTGTTTGGACTCATTTTTTTAAAAAAGACAAATACTGATTATAGATAGTATCTAAGGGTTTTACGTGATTTCTTTCCATGATGTGAATTGGAGATTTATGCTAAAGTTCCTACCCTTTCTCGTAGCCGTTGTTGAGGGACTCAAGCGGAGTCTGTCTGGACAGGAGTGGTTGGAGGGGATTGAAGTTTTGACTGTGTGTTTGGGTTACACAGCTATAAGGTTATTTTTCAATCTAGAGATTCAGTAATTCTCTGATTCCAACCGAGGGGAAGGATGGCCTTTTCCCTGTTTGGAGGAAATGCAGAAGTCAAAGTTGTTGTCAGTAGAGCTGACTGTTTTTGGCTCAAGAGAGCAAAGAGGGAAATCTTATTGCAAAAGACAGCAGCATAGAAGTGGTGCTAGAGTTTTTCCCGAGGACACACGTATCCAGCAAAAGACAGGAGTCGCAAGAGAAGGGAAATACAAAGGAATTCCCTGTGTTAGTGTAAGAGCTGTGATCAGAAGCATAAGACCGATCCTTGCAGTAACCTTGTGATTGGAAAGTAATCGTTCAGATTCACATCCATTCTAAGTACAAGTCAATGTGTCTCTTCTAGCCATGTACACACTCCTGGGCAATGCCAATGGGGCAACCTGTGCATTTCCATTCAAGTTTGAAAACAAGTGGTATGCGGATTGCACAACTGCTGGGCGATCAGACGGATGGCTCTGGTGTGGAACCACTACAGATTATGACGTGGATAGGCTATTTGGATATTGTCCATTGAAATGTAAGTAACTTTATCATCAAGACAATTTTGGCACTTTCAGTATGCAACCTAGTGATCAGACTTTGCGTTTATCGAGAACATTTCTTCCTCCAAGTGACTTCTCATTTCCTATCTCATCATACCCCACCACACCCTCTACAGATGTCATTGTCCCATTTTATAATGGAGGGAGTGATCCATATTGGCTAAAGACAAGAACACAGATCTTCTGACTCTCAGCCCTAGGCTGCCTCAAATGACCCCTTTATTTTCACTAACTACGACTTCTCCTCAAATTTCACTGTTACTGTCAGTTATTTTCTAAGACTTCAGGGCAAATTATACTGTATACGATGCAATATATACTTAATGCCACAGGTGGGCATCCCATTTTCCAACCCCCCCAATGATTTACCTTTATTAAACTATAGATCAAAAACAGGATTTAAGCAATGCCACAGCCTTGGTTTTGATGGACAGAGAGAGAGAGAGAGAGAGAGATGTGAGTGGCTCCTGAGTTTTGTGTCAATGTAATGAAAAGGGTTCCTCCCTGTGAAAATGATAGTAATGCTACTCTTCTTAAATTAAGTTTAAGAAGACTATTATTTAATTTAACATAGCTTCAATGGAAGTCAGTTACGTCTATGCTTGGAGGGGTTTTAAAATGAAAATGTAAGTCTTATTGCAATGATGCAGAATAAGTGGCATTGCATCGTATTGAAGTGAGGGGGCCATAAAAATTCTTGGTGTCCTTTCCATGCTCTAGAATTTATAAAGAAGCAGGGTAGCAGGTTTTGGGTGGGGTGGACAAGGGCATTCGTGTTGGAAGGCAGGGATGTGGCTGAAGAAGACAGAGGAGGAAGGGTTCTTGGCTTCCCTCTCTCCATCACCCACACCCTCCTCCTGCTGCCAGCATCGGCCTTCCTTTCCTTCCCCCTGAACTTCTTACCCCCAACCACTTGCTACTTCAGACTCTGTGGATCAGAGCTCCTGTTTCCTGCTGTCCTGCCAAGGGGCGGGCGCTGGGTCAGAGCCTCAGATACAGTCTGGGCTGATTGTGAGACCACCTGCGTTGCAATAGTGCCGCGCACCCCGCTAAACTTTCAGGATCACACATCCACATACCATCGCGGTATTCCAAGCGTTACTGTAAAAAACAGTGCAATTTACAAACATATCTTAGTTTGTCAAGTTAAAGACAGAATTCCAAGAATTGTGCTTATTTATCTCTTTTGATTTTTAATCCCTAAACATCTTACTAAAAATTAATTTGATTTCTCAGCCCCATGGATTATTGTAATTCCCCTCTGGGTCCAGTCCCTCAGTTCTGGGTGAATACTCACAAAAACTCAGTCTTCCTGTGTTCATGGTGGAACCGCTCTCCCATTCTTGGGTGAGGTAAATGCATTTCTGTTTTATAACAACTTTTAAAGGTTTGATTCCCATGAAAGGTTGACTGATGTCTGATCTCTATATTAGAAGGCTTTTTGTCTGAAAACAAAACTGAACATTTTCCTCATGAGATAAGGCAAGACTTGTTTTTCAGTGATTGAGAAACATCTTCCTCTGGACTTTGTAGGAATGGTATTTTCTAAATCCGTTATCATGGAGTGTCTTGGGGCTACAGATCTCACGGGTCCAGCTGTAACATCCTGCACTTACATGGTGTTGACAGGGACGTTGCTGGCTGCCCGTATGATTTAATGAGTCATTAAATGGAGGACAAATGGCCAGCCACCAATCATTAAAAAAAAAACAACACCTTGGCTAGACATGTGTTTTAGAGATAAACTGGGTAGGCTCTAGAATAAGCTTTTAGTCTCATTGGTTCCAATTTATGTCTTCCAAAGCAAATTATATATTTGGCCTAGTTCATTGTAAAGGTAAAATAACTGGAAATTTAAAACACTTTTGATTTCAACATGCATTACAATTTTAAAGCACATTTTATACAGTCCATGCCTTTCTTGAAGGGCTTTGCATTTTCCCAAACTCTTTCGTTGTCTTTGCTTTGTGTGTTTTTTTCAAAAGAACATTTTATTTGATGTTAGCCTTAAACTAGCAGATTCAATACAGGAAGACGAGGTCCCGGCTGTTGACCTAGTGACACCCAGTACATGCTCTTCACTGCCCTCTGTAGTGTTTATTGTAATGTTTTCCTTCTATTTAGACGTTTATTTTCAAGTATCAGGAGAACAGGAAAAGGAAAAGACTCCTTTCTCTCAATTGCCCATAGCTTGCAATTTTAGCTTTCAGAGTCAGTTGCGCTGGTTTACTGTGGGAATTTGAACCACTTGGGGAGATACAGAGTCAGCAAACCTATGCATGCCTTGAGAAATAGGTCTTAATCCCTTGATTGAAAATGCAAAATACCCTTTCTTTAAATGAAGAGAAGCAGCAAATTGCATTTCTTTCTTTGGTCCTTTGTAGCCCTTTCCTTCATTTCTGGACGAGAAAATCATCCCCTCCTTCTTTTATAGCTCACACTTTCTACCACACTACAAGCAAAACCTCCAAATTTCTAAAAATATTTATTTAAAATAGCTCCGACTTCAAGTAAACCTCAAACCAGTCTCATCTGAGTGATCTCACTTACAGGGCGAAGAATCCATTTGCACATTAAACTAGTAAGACCTCAGACTGTGGTAATTTAAATTTAACATTACTAATTCAAATATATTTTTTATGTGAATATATAATAATTTTATAGTTAAAACCTCTTAGAAATGTCTATGCTGTTGCCCAAATGAAATGTTGATATAGTTTTCTTCCTCTTTGGTGTTTCATGAACCACAAATTTCATATCATAGTGTGTGGTAAGTATATGAAAAAGGTCACTTCAGATACAAAGAATCACAATTACATGCATATATAAAGTGTGGGCTATATGTGTATGTATAATGTTGACTGTATGCATATATATGGTGTAGGCTCTATACACACGGACAACTGTCCAATTTGTTAGCAAGTTGAATACTCCTCAGAGAATTTGAGTTTACGTAATCTTTTCCTTATAAAAAAATGAAAGGATTATGATTTCACATGACTTGTAAGTAGAATTTTACATTATTAAAAAGACAAAAGAGAAGTTTTTATATCATGAAGCACACAAAAATATTTCATCTGTTGACTCATTTCTCAAACATCTTATGTGTAAAATGCAATCAATAATATTTATCCATCTATATTATTGGCCTTTCATAGACTGTAGCCACGTTTATAGAGTATATTGGGAATCATAAAATAGCAAAGGTAAAAATTTTAAAAATTAAAAAAAAAAATTTTGAATTAAAAAGTGTTTTACTCTGAGCGAAGAAGAGCTAACAATCAGCTATTGCCAGGAGCTGCCTATGTTTAATACGTGCTAGAGATAAGAACGTGAGACTCCAGAGGTGGCTAACAATTTAACTAAGGGTGACTCACCAGTGAGTGACAGAGTCTGGAGGCAGGTCCTGGTCAGTCTGTCTGTGGAGTCTATGACCTTCCCCTCTAATGCCTGTGTCTTTGGTCTAAAAAGACCAAACTAGAATGTACAGGTGAAATACCCGTTGCTGAGAGAAGACATATTTATTTTCTCTTCTCCCTTTATTATTGTTTTTCTAGATTAAGGAAGTTGGGCTGGCATCTCTATTCTTAGTCTGTGTATTTGCCTCACTTCCCAACTCATCTGATCTCAAATGTCCTAATGGAAAAATAGAGATGGTGAGTCCCTGTCTTTCTGGAGGCACATGAAGGAGATGGAATGCGGTCGATCTTTGAAAACTCCCCCTCTTCATTTCAGGAGTAAAGAAAATCTCATAGTCACTTTAAAACTGATTAAAAGAAAGAAAATAAGGGAAAGTTAATGCTTTAGGCAATAATGCTACCAAGATTGTTTAAAAGATATTGTTCACTGAAAATTCTTTCCACGCATAAGGTAGTCAATTCCTTTTGACTTCTTTTACAGTCGAGGGCAGTGAAAGCTTATGGAATAAAGATCCGTTGACCAGCATTTCCTACCAGATAAATTCCAAATCGGCTTTAACTTGGCACCAGGCGAGGAAGAGCTGCCAGCAACAGGATGCCGAACTCTTGAGCATCACAGAGATACATGAGCAGACATACCTGACAGGTAAAGATGCGAAAAGAAAACAGAGTTGTGACATCATGATTATTTTATTTCCGTATAGTTTAACTTAAAAGCATACAACACGAATCATTTGAGACATCATGATAGAGTCAGTCCTAAGCAGATGGTGCAGAGGGTTTGACAAATGTGCACCCTGAACCAGACACCTGGGATGGCGAATAGGTTTCAACTCATGAGCCAACTTTCTTCTGTCCGTTGTGTCAGTGTCTAGAACTTGTGCTGAGAACGATTCGGAGGATTTATTTGGGCTCAGAGTAGAAGATGCTGCAATCAGTTAGCGATGCTGTTCTTGGACACAAGACACGGGTGCTATACTGGTCAAATATTCTAGGTCTATAGCTCGAAGCCATTGGTTTTCCATTAGCGTGGGAGAATTTAACACGATAAACTGAAGAGCTGCCACCACAAACAGGGACAAGTGAAGAGCCGTCCTTTTGCCTCCTGTCTTTCAAATTCCCAGACTCTGATGGTTTTCAGGTCTTACTGATACTCTTTCTACAATGTTTGTTTTTTTAGCATTTGTTCTTATGAGGTTGTGAAGATGAAAAGGGCTAATGTTTGCTTGAGATGAGAGGGTCTGTTTTAGCTTCTGCAATCCACACTTGAGGAGCGGAGCGGTCAGGACCAGAAACGAGTGTGGGAGATAGAGCATCCGACTCCCTGCTCTAATCCCCTCCCTCCCGTTCACCCTGACCCTGCTTACTAGCTGAAAGTATCTCAGATCCAGTGACCACCATGTTCAAAAACTCTTAGTGGCTTCTCATCGCCTATCAAATAATTAACAACACACCTTTGCCTGACATTCGGGGGCTGTCACCTATCCACTGACTGCTGTTCCCCTTTGTGCATTTCGCAGTCTTGACAAGAGAAAACTTTTGGGTTCCTCATCTATGTCTCATACTTTCTCACCTCCACATCTGTCCCCATGGCATTTCTTGTACCTGGAATTCCCCACATTTTATACAGTTGAAATGCAGTCTTCTCTATTTCCATCTGCTTTTCTCTTATTTGTTTACCACTTTTACAGTGGTTACTTACATATGTCCCACTTCCCCTACAAGACTATAAATACGTTCAATTTTTATTCATTCATTCATTCTACAAGATGGGTGATTTCTCTGTGTGAGGCATTGTGCTAGCTCCTGGGGACACAGCAGTGACCAAAGCCTGCCATGTCCTGTCCACATGGAGCTTAAAGTCCAATGGGGAAAACACATAGACAAGAAAACAAGCAAATAAATACAAATTATAAGCAAATTGAAGGCTGTGTAGAGAATGGATTTGAGAGGCAGATGGCTGAAAGTGAGGAATGTCTTGTGAATATGTATGTCCTCCGAACCCCTAAAGAGATTCACACAGAACCTTCCGGGAATACAGTCTCAAGGGATGTTTGCTGACTGACAAGTGAGGATGCAGCACAAGAAAAAACATTATTTAGAAATTCACCCTCACATTTGGACCAGTGGTCAGTTTATGGCGAGAAGACAGTTGTTCTTAAGTGTGAAGTTGCTTATCAGTCACCAGGGAGCTTTGTTAAAGTGAGCCTGCCTGGGTGCAAACCCCAGAGACTGTAGATCAGTAGGTATGATGTGGGGTCCTGGAATCTGCATGTTATCAAATTTCCAGGTGATTCTAGGGCAAGTGGATGGGGACCCCACTTGGCAAAGCACTGGGTACAGTACCTGCTGTATCAGCAAAGCCTACAGATTGCATCTGCCTGGATAGCAGGCAGCAGAGCTCAGGAGTAAGGAGCATAGACTCAGGAGCCTGACCGCCTGGGCCCCGGCTCTGTGAAGCTGGGGGACCTTGGGGGCGATGACCTGAGGCTGCTGTGCTGCAGTGGGAGAGTGTGTGTGAACTGTTACAAGGGACAGAGCTGTCCCCAGCCTTGTCTCATCACCTAGGATTCCCTTTCTCCAGCTCTTTGCGGGTGATCCTCTCCACCAATTGGAACACACTTCTCCTATAAGTTATTATTTTTTAATTGAATTTGAAGATGTTGATTGCATTCTATTTTGGGCAGAAAAAAATGTCACATGAATTTTTTTTAGCACCACCGTGTGAAATACACAAAGCATTATTGGGTAAGAAAGACTTTTCTAGTCCATTTCTGAGGACTAAATCATGAGTACTAGCTCCACTGTAATGAAATGTTTCTTGTACCAAGTATAACATTTAAAAATTTTCTGCTTTCAGTATAGGCTGCAAGCCACCATTTTCTTTCAGCCATCATTAAAGAGATTGACAGTAGAAAAGCAATGCGACCTCACTATGGGCATTCGTGAGCTCAGAGATGGGATTACGCCTCTGTCTGCTCAGTGATTCTGTTTTGTGTTGGTCCTTGGGGTCTTTGTATGCAGTATTGGGGCAAAGTACAGAGGGACCAGTATTTGCAACCATGTGTAAAAATAAGGAGAAAAAGAGGAAAACAGAGACAGAGATAAGACAAAATTTATGTAGGTGATTAAGGAAGAGAGAGAATGAGTTGAGACAATCCTGGTGTGATTTGCGCTGGCTTGCACGGGTTAGAGAAACCTCAGAGTTGAAATGGTTTCACTTGGCTTTTTTTTTAAGGAATCTGTTTGCGGGTTGTGTTATCTTGACTCTTCTGAGGTTTGCTTGTTTTCTGGCTTTCTGGAAGCCAAGGGACAGAGCACAGGTTACTTTTGAACTCTTCCCCAGTTGCTAGGGGAAAGAGGCTCTGTGAGCAGGACAGCATCTCTGGGCCACTCACTTCCTCATTCCTGGCCCCGCTATCAGCCTTCTGGCTGCAGGAAATGCTTCTCTAATCAGCAAGGGCTATTACTGTGTCCCCAGGAGCGCAAACAAGCCCTAAGAGATTGGGAGGCTGAGTTCACCTCAGATACTTATTTGAATCTTATCCAAGCCTCCGGAATTTCAGTCAGCAAATTTTAACTGAAATCCGGGTAGGAATGACTTCTCGAATGAGATTTGTAATATTTCCTGCTTTTCTTTAAGTCAAAAATGCCATGCATTAGGGGACAAAAAAAGTCTGACGGGGAATTTAAAAAACAAACCAGACTTTTGCTTTCTAGAGGGAAGATATTCATGACATTTGGGATTTATCGGCATATATTGGGGAAGACTAGAAAATCCTGGGGTGAGTGAGGGATTGTCATCTACTCCTTTCTGGAAAATAGGGCGCTAACATTTTTTAAAAACCACACATAGTTACGCTTTTAAAATATGATTTCTTTTATGTGAGAATTTTGAGTAGTGAATTTCACTTTTCTAAAAGGTATAAGCCTCTTATGACTCTGAGATCAAATTAGCTGTTATTTATTAAACAGCTGTTGTGTGGCAGACACTGAGCTTTATATCTAAAGCTGACACCAACCTTGTAAATGAGTAATATTGTCCCCACTTTATAGATAACAGATTAGGAGGGAGAAGGTAGGAATTTTGCCTAATGCCACCCATTCTGAAAATAACTGAATTGGAATTCAGCACTGTCTTTCCATTACGCTCTGCCTGGGTCTCACTTAAAAATAAGCAAGGATCTGGTGGCCCCCCAAGCACTAAAGAGAACCTTTAATTTAGGTGTCAGCAGCTCCTTGCTCCAGTAAATTTATTCTAAACTGGCAATCTGGTTTCACATTATCTGCTGGGTTAACAGCTTCTGCCCAGCGGCCAATTCTTATATCACCCAGAGTCATTTCATCATCTCTTCTACCCTCAAAAATGTTGGAACACCCTATTGAATCCTCAGTTCCTGAATCAGATTTATAACTATGTATGCATAGGATTAGGATTTATAGAACTGAAATAAGATATAGGAAGTGAAATTGGCTAGTTACTTTGATTGTTTTTGCCAGTTTCCGTATGGTGCTGGGTGGAGAACACATTGGACCACAGTATAGAAAAGAACAATACAGTGTACTATTGGACAGTAATACGTCTTCTATTACAACTAAGTTCAAAAGTAGGTATAAACTGTTTCAGACGATACATGCAGGAAAATTAAACATTAAAAAGTTTAGCATGTGGAATTGATGCTTTGTGTAATAATACTAAAAAAATTGGGGGGCTTCCCTGGTGGTGCAGTGGTTGAGAGTCCACCTGCCGATGCCGGGGACACGGGTTCGTGCCCCGGTCCGGGAGGATCCTACATGCCGCGGAGCGGCTGGGCCCGTGAGCCATGGCCGCTGAGCCTGCGCGTCCGGAGCCTGTGCTCCGCAATGGGAGAGGCCGCAACAGTGAGAGGCCCGCGTACCGCAAAAAAAAAAAAAAAAGAAATGAAAATTTGGTCATCTTCTTTATAAAATTAAAAACACATTAGAGAAAAAATTGTGTATGACACTCATCAGCTTTAAGTGATATATTTAACACAAAGCTTGAAATCTGTTTGTAAATCACACTTTTTGCCAACCCGAATTCAACATGGAGTAATAACAATAATAATAATATTAATAATAGCAATAGCTTACATTTATTGAGCATATACTGTGTATTAGGCCCTGTTTTAAGAAGTATTACTTAATTTAATTCTTCAAAACAAGCCTAGGAGTACCTAGAGTAGACAAGGAGAGTCTCAAAGGATAATTTCCTTAAAGAGTGATCATCTTTTCCCATCATGCCAAACATAGTAATTTAATTAAGCAATCTCAGGCAAAATCTAATTTATTTATTCCTACAGTTCTGTTCAAAAATTCATAGTTTTGAAAACTTAGATATGCGTATTTTATTATAAGTTTTAAAACATACCAGGATATTTGATTTTGGGGAATAGCTATATCCAACATCTACAAGGAACTCATACAACCCAACATCAAAAATAGACCCCCAAAGCCCGAGAAAAACCAAAACAACTTGAAGAGATGTTTTCTCAAAGAAAACATACACATGAACAGATGCTCAACATCATTAATCATCAGGGAAATGCAAATCACAGCCACTGTGAGATACCACTTCACACCGGTTAGAGTGGCTATTATCAAAAAGACAACAAAAGGCAAGTGTTGGCAAAGATGTGGAGAAAAGGGAACCCTCATGTGCTGTCAGTGGGGATGTGAACTGGTGCAGCCACTGTGGGGAACCGTATGGAGGGGCCTCAAAAAACTAAAAATAGAACTACCATGGGATCCAGCAATTTTATTTCTGATTATTTACCTGGAAAGAACCCAAAAACACGAATTCAAAAAGACATATGCATTCCAGTGTTCACTGCAGCGTTATTTACAGTAGCCAAGATATGGATACAACGTTAAGCGTCCATTGATAGACAAACGGATAAGGAAGATGTGGTATATATACATACATACAATGGAATATTACCCAACCATAAAAAATGAAATTTTGCCATTTGTGACAACATGAGTGAATCTAGAAGGTATTATGCTAAGTGAAGTAAGTCAGAGACAGATGAATACCTCTTGATCTCACTTGTGTATGCAATCTAGAAAACAAAACAAAATGAAAACAGATGCATAGATACAGAGAACAAATGGGTGGCTGCCATAAGGGAGGGCAGGTGGGGAGTAGGTGAAATAGAGAGGATTAAGAGGTACAACCTTCCATTGTTATATAACAAAGTCATGGGGATGTAATACACAGCATAAGGAATATGGTCAATCATATTGTAATAACTTTGTATGGGCACAGATGGTTACTAGACTTATTGCGGTGACCATTTCATAATGTATGCAATGTCAGATCGCTATGTAGTATACCTGAAACTAATGTAATATTGTATGTCAACTATATTTCAATAAGAAAAATAATTTATGAAAAAATCAATGTTCAGTGGTATTTAATAGAATAATTATTAACATAAAATATAGTATCAACATGACACTGATCCCAGAATGACATTTCTAAGGTACAGACTAGTAGACGGGCATCTCCTCCTGACACCTTATAAGTTATCTATTTACATGAACGAGGTGAGATGGCCGTTTTTGTTGGTTTCTTTAATTTACCCTAAAGAGACATAAGTAATAGTTTAGTACTCAAAAGAGTTTTAATAACTATGTAAAATAATTAATGAACTAAAGGGAAACCATCAATGAGATGAATAACTATAAAACTGATTTACTATGAATGAATTTCTATCACTTCATTATCAGTATTTTCTTTGTAATGAATGCAGTCATAGTCGATGATGCTCATTGCAGAGATTTAAGACTAGAGAAATATTAAGATTTTCCCGTTTGATAATGTCATTCCCTTGACATAGCTTGTAATAAGTATTTTATTTTTTGGTAAAATTCCAACTTTGGAGAACCAAATGCTGAGTCTTCACAGGTAAACCAGAGTGAGTTCTGCCATGGACTATTGTTTGGGGAGGGATGACATTTATCAGAAATATCTTTTTAGTTCATGGTTCTTTATTTAAAGGTGCTCTAACATCTAAACTTATCTGGAAAATGTATTATATCAATAATAGTAACTCACAGGCAAATTTAATTTAAGCAAGGGTTGAATTCACTGGAAACACCAAAGTGAACCCTGAGTGCAAGTTCTAATTTACTCATCCTCTGTTTCACTGTCCACAAGTTTCTTAACCTCTCTGTCCTCAGTTTCTTCATCTGTAAAATGAAGGCCCTGGACGAGATACCTCTCAAAGTGTATAAAGTACCTAAGGGCAAGAGCTGTACTAACTCAGACTTTTTTTTTCTACAACACTTGATAAAGATAAGTGGATCTGAATTAATTTTCACTGACTTTTAACATGCTAGTAGTTAATTTCATCCCATCTTTATTACTTTAAAGAAATTACGCAATAGGGTTTACTTTTCAGTAAATAACTCCAGTATTGGATTCAGTTCAGTTCATTAAGCATCAACCTACCTAATCAATATCAACCTAGTCAGTATCCTCAAGCTGGGTTCTCCCTTTGTCAGTGCCTTTCTGCCAGGTGCTGAATAAACTGACAGCATTCCGGTCACATTTCTCCAAGAACATGATCTGTGCTTTTATGGCATTGGGGAGCAAAAAATGTGAGATAGGATTCTGGGGCATCGAGTCACTGTAATCCCCTTTCATTTGAATTTGTGACATGAATGTGCGTATATATCAGCTAATGAAAAATTGGGGAAAATTTCGGTGAATTTGGATAGCTTAGTTGGTTGCATCAGAGCTAAAGGGTCTGGGATTTGATGTCATAAGAACCCAGATTTAGGGACTTCCCTGGCAGTCCAGTGGTTAAGAGTCTGTGCTTCCAATGCAGGGGCGTGGATTTGGTCCCTGGTCGGGGAATTAAATCCCAGAAAGAACCTAGGTTTAAATTTCAACTCTGCACATGTCATCTAAACTATTTGGGTGTGAAATTCCTAATCTGTACAATGGAGATGGCAGTACCTAATTAGAGTTTGTGGGGATTGAAAACGAGCGAAAACAGTGCCCTGAATATAGTAAGTGGTTATTCTCACCATTGAAAAATTTGACTGGGGAATATATCCTCTAGAGAACAGTAAATATGAAGTGGTCCATTTATGATTACCCTTTATGTTTATAGACACTTCAGGTTGGTATTTTATTGAAGACAAACGATAGTTTTCCTTTCCATTAATTCTTTTAAATCAACTAAAAAGAATATAGAGAGAACAGCAAATCCATGGTTTTTAAAAAGTTACAGGTAATAACACATTAGAGTTGTTTAACCTGGGCGGACTGAGGTCCATGTTGCTTCTGTTTTGTTTTTTATTGCGTCTCAGGCCTAGCACAGACTTTGAAACATTGTAATTATGATTTATTAGCTGCCTAAGTGTTATTCATAGTAGCACAAGCACTTAGTGTTTAGTTTTTAATCATCATCTTAATGAGGAAAAAAAATGGATGTTTTAAAATGTCATCGAGTAAAATTCTGAGCGTAAGTTCTAAAATATGAGGTCGGGTAATAACTTATGAGAGTGAAATAGACTGAAGTGTGTATTAAACTTTTTCATGATAGAAAACGGTGACTTTGGTACAAAAGAAATCTTAGTTTTACTCTAAAATGAAGTAAACATGTTTTTGTTTGACGATAGTCAAAGAGTCTTCTCCAAATTAGAAGCACATTCACACGATCCTTAGCAAGGATCCTCAGACGCTTAGCGAGACCGTTGCTGGCTTATCTGTGTTCTCACCTCTGTTTCTTTACGTGCCCGTGGAGGTAATGGTTGTACTTGCTTCCCGCTGAGGAGAGGATCAAAGGAGACATGCTCGGCACGATCTTCGTTACTTCTTTCTAGTACATTTTGATTCAAGTACCTAATTCTGAGTTTGATGTCACCATCTTTTCCGAATGTCAGTTTTGTTTTTGTTTTGCTTTTGTCCTAAAGGGTTAACCAGTTCCTTGACTTCCGGACTCTGGATTGGACTGAACAGTCTGAGTTTCAACAGTGGATGGCAGTGGAGTGGGGGCAGTCCGTTCCGATACTTGAACTGGTTACCAGGTAGGGTTAAGCTCGTCTGATTAACTTGGTGGCGTTAAGCTGGTTGAATTCATCTGCGTTTAATTTAGCTAGGTACCATGGAGACCTTCATCAGCTCACATGTAGATATCAAAGAGAAGAACTGGGAGATTTCATCAAGTACAGTTTATTTCTCACCTTGCTTTGAAACCTGCCAACTAGATTTGAATACTCTAACACCAGTAGGTTATTCCAGCTTTCTGGGATAAGGACTTGTCTGGAAGGATAATCACACAGGTCAATAGAGGACTTTGTTAAAGTATACATTCGCAGAGCACCCTTGATTTGCTAGGTATTATATTCAAATATTTGATTTTATATTTATGATATATATATAATATATAATGCTACATAGTATATTCAAAGATTTTATACATATTTATTTATATCTGCACACACACTATGAATTTAAGAAATTTAAATTGTTTTAGGCTGGAGAATTTCTCATTATCTTGAGCCATGAGATATTTGCAGTATTTCTGTCATCGTTGTAATGATCTGAAGGTCTACGTTGATGCCATTTTCTCCTATTTTTAATCGACTAGAGTTGGATTAAAAATAATACCAGCCACAGATTGTAATATTCCATACTAGCATAATCATTCATGAGCAGTTTTGTTGACAGTTTGTAGTTTAGTTGTAGAAAAACACAGGGGATGATCAAGCCTTCCACGGCTTTCCCATTTTTTGGAGGACAGAAAATACTCTGAGCTAATTATTTCTGTACTGTTGTAACATAGAGGTAACAGAACATAAAAGGAGACTAGATGATAAAGATGTTTTACATATACAGAAATTATTCTGAGAAAACAAAAGGACCAATGATGACAAAACGTCTTCATCTTATTCACCAATACCAACCATTGTTAGTGGCTGCTTAAGGCACTCTACTGAGTATGATTCTCCACTCCCAACCCAGGCCCCATCCTGTACTAATCTTGATTTATTAGGAAAGTGTGCAGGTAAGGATTAGTGATGTCTGCCGTAGGTGTGAGAAAGGACGGGTCACATTTTCATTTACCAGTTCTGCTATGGAAGATACTAGTGTGGTGTTTCTTCATATGGTCAAACTTCTTTTTTTAAAGCCATCGAATGGTTTTTGCATTTGGCTTAGAAAATTAAACTCTCCACATTTTCCATGTTACCGACTTATGGTATTAAAAAGAAAAACTTTAAAATAAATAGATAATATTCGGAATATGCTAAAACATGAGAGGGAATTTTTAGAGCCCATACGTCGGTTTAAACTGATTAGATTTTACTATGAAATTTGACTTTCAATGTCCTCCTTCAAGGCATGGTGTTTGCAGGGCTGTCACTAAGCGTCAGCTCCGCTTTCCTCTGGAATATGGGAAGTAAACACTGCTGCAAGGGAATATAAGAGGTGCTATTTATGAGTGAGAATTGCGTATGTCAGCTTACTGACTCAGTCACACTATTGGAGAATGCCGGTTGGCTCAGTCAGATCATTAGACAATAATAATCACTTGTTGGGGGATTAGAGTTTATTCTTTGCTGCTTAATTATTGTAGGCAGATCATTTTATTTATTACTCAGTTTTAAGTGATGATTATTGTAATATTTAACCACTTGCATTCTGAGAGTTCAGTGAGAAAATTCAGGGGTCTAGATTCTGGGAAAGTGAGGAATAAAATTGGAATATTAATGAGAAAGGAAAAGAAATGTCCTTCCTTATTACACCAATTCCTGAGAAGTAGGCGCAAAATTAAACCACCTTCTGAAATAATAGGAGAGTTTCTTCAAATGAAAATTAGAAACCTTGTGGAACATTAGAAGTTGTTATTGTATAAGTTGTTCAATCAGCCTTCAACTGAGTACTTGACAAGTAAAGCACCTATTAAAATACATCTACATTTGAAGTGAGGTTAGTTTACGCAAAAGGTATAGACGTGTGAATTCAAATATGTAACTCTAGTAACCATTGAAAGACAAAGAGCTGATTTGTTAAAGTAGGTCTTGTGTTCTATTGATAAATGACTGTATTACTACGATTTACCAGCTCATATATTAAATAATAACCGTTAGCTGTAAAATACATTATTTTTTCCGAAAGTTTCTTTCTAGTACTGGTACCTGATCTGTTAGTTCAGTTATACTGGAATTTTGGTCATACTATCAACACATTTAAAAAACATCTTTATCCTTATCACTAACAATTTTTTCTTTGTGTGCTGTTCAAGCAACTTCCAAAAATTTTTGACGAAGGCTTTGTGGAACAGGTGATGTGATTCCCATCTTTCGGGAAGGGAAGGTGTGGTCCAGGTCCAGGTCGTAAAGATGTCAGAGGTCACAAAGAAGAATCATTGACAAAATGTGACTCATCACCCTGTCTTCTCTTGTGAGATGGAGCAAGGTTTTAGAGCACTGGTTTCAAAATCATTTATTAAAGTGGTGGAAAAGCATGAGAAATGTGGGCATCTATGCATGTATCGATTGCATTAAGAAAGTTGACCTGACCTCGTTCTTTAATCCGTTTCCAGTAAGCAGTGAGATGAGAGGTTAGCTGCTAGAAGTATTCTTCAGTAGGCTGAGTTGAAAATCTTGAGAGAGAGTCTGAGCTCTGGGAGTACTTTATCAGCGTTTACTGTGGCACATTGCTGCTTCTAGCATCTCTTTGCTTCTCTTTCTCCTCACATTGCCTTCTTTCCTGCCTCTTCTTTCTAACTGGAGGAGGTTTTCCCATGTCCTGGTCCACAGTTAGCTTGACTTAGGTTTCTGGGGAGGTATCGACAATGTTGAATATAGCTGATTTGGAACGTCGTGTATTCTTTTGTTATTTACCCCCCATCATACGTAAAGTAACCCAGTGTGAAGATTGTTCAGGGTTTACGGTTTAGCTTTATTGTTTGATATTGTGGGGAAAAATTTATTTCAAAGAAGTAAACTTATATAATCAACATTTCAGGTATTGGAATGATCCAACAATGAGAAAACAAATAGACACCCAACATGTCTTTTGCTCTGCAGGCACTAAATATTTCTTTGTGAATGTGTAACAGAAAGGGTGGGGATCCATTAAATGCCAAGGATAAACGCACGGGGCTCTGGGGGGTCTATTTACTTGTAATTCCTATAATAGTCCCACTTTTATTTTTTCTTTTCCCCAAAGGAAGTCCATCAGCGGAACCAGGAAAAAGCTGTGTGTCACTAAATCCCGGGAAAAGTGCTAAATGGGAAAATCTGCAATGTGTTCAGAAGCTAGGCTATATTTGTAAAAAGGGCAACACAACTTTGAATTCTTTTGTTATCCCCTCAGGTAAGTGATCTATTTGATCTGAAGTGTATAAAATATTATAATTTAAAGATCAAATTACAGTCTAGTCCTAGCTGTAGGCAGTGACAGGTTTTGTTGATCATTTATGGTATCAACTTAATGATATTCCTACAGAATGTCTTTTTGGTGGTTGCTAACCTTTCCTGAGTGTGCTGGAGTGTTTGGGCATGAGCAAAGCCTTTGACACAGCATTAATAAAAATTTTATCTTCACAGCCGCCCTGTGAGGTAGGTATTATTATTCACACATTTTAGATGAGGAAAAAGATATTCAGAGGATATAAAAAACTCGCACATGTGACAAAACTGGAATCCAAGCTAGGAAATCAGTATCTGAAAGGAATGTTTTTATTATGTCCTCACTATTTAATGGCGTATCTAGGCGCCAGTGTTATTTAGTTTAACATATACACTGAAGTCTTCACCAAAATGGAATAAAACATCCCAGAAGTAGTCACTGAATTTTATATATAGGCTAGACCAGCGGGAAAAAATGCAATTATGCTCTCTATTATAATTTTATAGAAGAATTAAGCTACTGAGCCCAGAATGCATTTTTTTCTTCAAATTGACAAAAAGCAAACTAACTATTGATACATTTTTTTCACCATCACCTGTTTTTGGAGAGACACTTAATACTTCATGGTCATTTATGTATGTATATATATATTCTTCTTGGGAAATCTGACAGCGTGGCATTCTTCACTTTTTTTGCTCCTTGACTTTTAAAAGCAATTTCATTTATTTTAAAATATGATCGACATGGCTAGAAAGTCTGTGGTACAACATGATAAATAATAATAATTTCTTCCAGTTCTTACTTCAGATTTGCAGTTCCTCTCTGAATAACTGTGTCTGGGTGTATATCCTTACCTAGTTATTCTATGAATATATGAATAAATATGTTTGTAATTCTTTTTGTCTGTTTTATACAAATGGCAGCATATGATACACTTTGCTCTACTTTTTTCACTTAATAACAATTTGGGGCATCGTTCCATACAGTACATAGGTAGCTTCTGTGCTCATCTTTATGGCTGTACGTTAGCCATTGCAGGGAGAGACCATATTTTTTTTTAACCAGTCCCCTATTAATGGAACTTTAGTTTACTTCCAAGTTTTTATTATTACAAACAATCCCACAGTGAGTAACTTTATACATATGTCATTTGATATGTGTGATTATTCCTAGAAGTGGAATTGCCAGATCAAAGAGTGGGTGTGTTTGCCATTTTGATGGATACAAATATGGCCGAGCTCTCCAATGCATATAGACGAGGGTCCCATTATTGGGTTTGATTATCCTTTACAGGGTCACCCTTATGGCTGTGGGCACGCCTCAGGGAGACCTCAGTCATTTTTGTATTTCGTCTCCTCTATTCCTCCCATATGAGAAGTGGTACTGATATAATCCTTCCCTCTTGGAAGAGCTCCTATAATTCTCCTTCAGAAGGTTTGGAATTACCACTTAGGGGGTGAGGAGAATGGTGGTTTTATCATGTCTGAGGTAAGGAGGTAGAATTCTGTAACTTGGCCTTGTTCCTTAACACCCCAGTTTTAGTTTCCTGTCTATTAAGTGGAAATACTAACACTTGTTCTTCCTGTGAATGTTTGTTCATATTGTCAAGCACTCAGTCCATTATTCTTATTTCTGTGCTATGCCTGTTACTGGAACCAAACTTGGGTCTGCTGGTCTGCGTGCAGTAAAGCCAGATCTACCGACACCGGGTTGTGGTGAAGGAAATTGCAGGGTTTATTGCAGGTGCCAAGCCAGGAGTCCAGGGCAGCTAGTACTCAAAACACTGAACTCCCCTATGGGTTTCAGGAAAGCATTTGTAAAGTCCAGGCAAGGGAGGTGGGTTGCAGGGTATGTGATCAGCTTGTGCAAAATTCTGTGATTGGTTGATGGTGAGGGAACATGGCAGTGTCCCAGGGGTTGATGTTATCAGTCCTTAGGTGCCAACACGCTCCTGACCATCAAGTAGTTAATTTCTTCCATTTGGTGGTGGTTTTAGCATCTGTAAAACAACTCAGGAAATGTCCCTCAGATACTATTATCTGGGTACTTCAGAGAGGAGCTACAGCAGAGGATATGGGGGAGGGGGTCTGTCCCGGGAAGGCCCCCTAGAGTCCTGCTTGGTTACATGCCTTACTTGCTTCACTTGCTAACTTTCACTTCCCATTGGTTTTTGATATTTCTCTATACTTCCTGGATTAATCATTCTATCTTATCTGTAAACTCAAATAAACCAGAGCTTGGAAAAGCATATCAGAGTTAGGATTATGCAGCATACATTATTGGTGACTTTCTTGGGCAAGGGTTCCACCTCGTCCCCTGTTTGTCTTTGCAATGCCACCCTGTGCGTCCATGATCCCTAGGTTGCTAGAGCTGCACTGTCCAGTTCAGTAGCCACTAACCACACGTGACCACTGAGCACATGAAGTGCGGCTAGTTCCAACAGAGATTTGCTGTGAGTGTAAAATACACGCTGGACTCACAAGACACAGCATGAAAAACAGAAGTGAACGATCTCATTATTTTTTAATTGATTACATATTGATATGATAATATTTGGGGTATATTGGGTTAAATATGATGTATTATTATAATGGAAGTTACGTGTCTCTCTTGAGACTTGTACTTAATGGCAACTGGCAAATGTATGATAATTCCATACGTGGCTCCCGTTTGTGGATTATGTTATATTTCAGTCAGACAGTGTTGCTGTACAGGAATAAGCCATTTTTTGTGGCTGCCCCAGGGGACGCCTCTACATTGGTTGTTTCCATGTTTTGAAATATTTTTAAAGTGCATCTGTTTAGTTTCTGAAGCCCTCAGCATGTGCTGGCATCATTTTCAACTTCTTGAGCAGCAAAATTAAAATATCCCACAAGAGGGCTCCAGAGTGATACTAACTTTTTTTTTTTTTTTTTTTTTTTTGGTCACCACTGGAACTGTATAGAAGGAATAGATTTTCTAAAAATATGCACTTTTCTGTTATAATAATACAGTGTTTGGATCTCAGGACTGCCTATTTACTTGAATGACCGTACACAGAATCTTGAGCTTATACGAAGGTGATGCAGACATTCCCAGACTTTGAGAGACTATGGAACTGATACATGAAACGGGTAACAAAGGTGCCCTGTACTGAACCTTTACTAAGGCAGCACATTTGAGAACATTTAGTATCAAACTTAAATATAGAAGTTGACATTCATTTGGCAATATAGTCCCTCTTTACACAAGATATATCGCTCAATTGCTGTTTGAAATAGTATCCACAAAATGGTCATAATAAGCTGTTGTCTAGTAAATATAACTTCAATTCTTTTTCTTGACCAACAATTCATGACACTTATTCTGTGCCAGGCCCTGTGCCATTTCAGGGCCTATATGAGGATGAATGAAGCGAGTCTCTTGCCTTCGAACATTGTTACTGTCACTTTCCCTAGCTTATTACTGTGTCATGTTTGTAATGTATAATCAAGGTCATGAAATTTGACCCTGACTACTAGTAGCAATAATTAGGACCTTGGTCACTGCTACTGGTTTGATTAAACATTGTTGTAATTTATAGTCATATTATCTCAAGTGCAGAGCACAGTGAGGATGGGTAGTTTAATATTAGTACTAGTATTCCTATGATGTACAATATTTTACATACCTGGATAGTTTGGTTCATGTGATGTGACTGACCCACCATCACACAGCTTGTGGCAGATTCAGATTTTGCCTGAAAGACTTTGGAATCGAAGTCCCTGTGATTTCTGCAGTTACGTGTCATCTTTTGGGAGCAAGTGCACGGCAGTGGGTTAGTTCAAAGGCACAGGTGGCCAGCTCACACTGCCATGGTTTCAGAAGCTCCTTGGTGCCCCCCCCCGCCCCCCACCCATTCTAGGCCCTGTGTCAGCACGTCTTTCTCCTGCCTGCCTTGTGAGTCGTGCCCATCCTCTGAGGAATGGGTGGCTTCCTAATGCCCGTAGAATAGAGGTAACTTGAAATCTTCTGAGGAATGAATACATTATATGACAAAACTCTTGTGCTTCCAGTATTTATAGAACATGCTTAGGACAGGTCTGCCGATGATAAAATGCAGACGAAATGAGACAATCTATTGTATCTTACTGTGGCCTTGTTGTAGGTACAGTTGAAAATAAGAACAGATTTCTCATTTGGCTTTATTTTAAAATGAATGATGACTTCCATATCATCTTTAGTGTAAAAGCAAACACAATGTCGTCTTTCGTGAATACCTGTGCCAAAAAATGGAAAAATAAATATTAGCTATATTTGCCTATGACTATGAACTGTTTCCTGTAGAGAATGATAGAAAATATCGTTAAATTAAAAACTTTTTAAAACAATAAAAAAAAGCTCCTTTTAAATGTTTTCCAAACTCTTTTTTTTTTTTCTTTCTAGAAAGTGATGTGCCTACCAACTGTCCAAGTCAGTGGTGGCCGTATGCAGGTCACTGTTACAAGATTTACAGAGAAGAGAAGAAACTCCAAAGAGATGCCTCGATTGCATGCAGGAAGGAAGGTGGTGACCTAGCAAGTATACACAGCATCGAGGAATTTGACTTCATTATCTCCCAGCTGGGCTATGGTAGGAACTTCGTCTGTAATACACTTGATTCTCATCTTCCTGACTTACCACCCATCTTCGGGAAATTTAATCATAAATGTTAAGTCTAATAAATTCAAGTTAACAATTCAATGAACAATTTAGTAACAAATATCAATCAGGCCTCAAATATTAAAATTATGTAGTAATTTAAAGAATTTTTACCCCTAAGAGAACATTTGAGTTTTTTTAATATGGGATCAACGTATGCATAGTTTTAAAAATACTGTGTTTCAAAAAAAAATACTGTGTTTCTCTATATAATCTGGATTCAGAGCAGTCTACCTTAAATTTGTGAACAATATTTCACTAGTTGGAATTAGTTGCGTGTACGGATGTATTTTCTCTTTTAAGGCCCATGTTTTGTCTCACAGGAAAGGTCTCTAAATGAACCATCTCATCCTCTGAATTTTATTTTCTTTATTAATCTAGCTAAGGCTGCTAGAATGATGAGCAGGGAAAGAAAGAATTTATTTGATTGGAGTGGTTAGATGGTGGCCTAAACCTTTTAAAGAAATTTGCATCTCCATTTTAGGACTCTAAGAGACGAAGAGAAAATGTAGTAACTCAATATTGTAAAGTTTTAAAAGATTGGCCCTATCAAAAACATTTCAAAAGTGAGTAAAGTGAGTTGGGAATATGCTTATCCTGAAGAGGAGGAGGCTGAGGAAGGAAGTAATGATGACGGGCACTCAGCCGTACTTGCTGATTCAACCATGATCGTTTTCTGCTTCCACTTATGCTACTGCAGAATAGCTGGACCTTTTCGTTTCCAGAGAGCAAAACAAGAGGAAATGGATGGTGGCGATGGTGGGGACTGCTTCCTGACACTTACTGCCTGAAAATGGATAGGAGTGGGGGTAGGGGAGAAGAAAAAAAACAATGAACAAATAGATGAGAAGAATAAACTAGTCTCAGAAAAAGATGTAGAACATCCCCAGCACTGCTGCTGTCAGTGCCAGTGCTGAACGGAGTCCTTTCTCCTTTGCGCGCCTCACTGAGTTCGGTAGGGTGATGATGATATTCTGCTACAGCCCGTAAATAATTTCTCGATTATTCTACATTTACCTGTCCTGGAGCATCTGGACTACACGATACTAATGTAATCAAAACCAGTGTATCTGAATAATATCGTGACAGAGATGGCATGATACTCTAGGGAATAAGGGAATAAGGGAATAGTAGGGAATAAGGTTTGCAAGTGAATAGTAGGGAATAAGGTTTGCAAGGGAATCGGTGGGAAACACATTAGTTAAGAGGCTGTAGGGCTAACGTGCAAATTGTGCTCTACTTTATATAATATGGTCTAGTAATAGGAGAACCTTATATATTTATTGCTGTAGTTATTTTAGGAGTTTGGATGACGAAGGTTGCTTTTAAACTCAGCTGGAGAATTAGTAAACTTTCACTATGGAAACCTCTTTTTTATTATTGATAAAGATTTATTTATTTAAAACAATACAAATCATATTGATAAAGGTAAAGGAAAGTTATAAAATTAAAATGATTGTTTCTAAGTCAGAAGCCTAGAAAACCTTTTGGAGCTAGTTGAGTTGATATCTTTCATGTTAATCATGGAAATACAGGGGATAAATTGGGACCTACACATATAAGTTATGACTCCATCAACAAAGACAGCTTTCCTAACAGGTTGATAAGTCCATCTAACAACTTTATGCTCACATCTTATATATTTTTGTAGGATCAAGCTTGTGCATACAGAAGCTACAGGGGGAGAACAGTTTAGTGAGAAGAATGTTTATCAGAAACTCTTAATACTTTATTATAATCGTGGGACTTGGGAGTTTAGGTTTTCACTGGTCTTGAACCTAAAAACCTTGAGGGGTACATGAAGTCATTTTGGAGCCTATATTTTCTGCCCAAAGAACATGATCTGCCAGATTAAGTGAAAGGAAAAGGGATCATCCTGGCAATGCCATTCATGTTTCATGGTGCTGGAAACATCTGCTGGGACTGGCACCAGGCCAGTCAGGGACTTCTCCAAAAGCAAAGTTGAGTGACAATTTTAGGAGGAAGAGACTAAACCATTTAGGGAAATTCCTATACAATGTGGCATATTTCTCATTTTCTACTACAACATCATCTTTACAAACTTTGGGCAAGTAATTTTATTTAACTGTTTAAAGAACATATGAAACTTAAATAGATATTGAATTGTGTATTCCTTCAGTTTTTAAAATATGGAAATGTGTGTGATTTTAGTCACGAGACCTCAGGCCTTCTGTTTGGTCCCGTTTTTACTTATGATATTTAGAATTCTTAGAATTAAAACTACTGATAAAATCAATAATGCTCTTCATAGAATTTTCAAAACAGAATGATCCTCTTTTATATCTATACCTGGTTGTTTTTATTTTAACTTCTGTTTGTTATTTGGGTTTTTCTGGTGTTTCATAGTGAAAATGGTGGCAGTTTCATTCATATACGTAGACTAATAAATAAGTGCTAAATGCCAAAGACAGCCCAGCCCTTCAGTTTATATATCTTCTCACTGTATGGATCATTTTCACTCCTATTACAGTGATTAAACTTGAACAGAAACACCTAGAATGTTCTTGATAACATCGTCAGTAAAATAGGAGTGGTTTTTAGTTTTTATTATTTTAAAACATTCAATAAGATTTAATAGTAGTCAAATAGATTTACGTATAAAGAAGCTGCCGTATTTCCAGCACCATGAGTGTGGTCGGTAAATGATTTATAACAAAAAAGCAGCTTCACAAGATAGAGGATCATGATAGACCCACTTCAGTTTCTGTTTAACAACTCCCAGGAGATAGAAATTGCAGTAACACAACAAAAGAATACAGTCATATCCACAATGTGAAGAATACATTACACATTTTAAACTAAAATTGACAACATAGGGGCTTCCCTAGTGGCGCAGTGGTTGGGAATCCTCCTGCTGATGCAGCGGACACGGGTTCGTGCCCCGGTCTGGGAGGATCCCGCGTGCCGCGGAGTGGCTGGGCCCGTGAGCCATGGCCGCTGAGCCTGTGCGTCTGGGGGGGGTGCTCCGCAACGGGAGAGACCACAGCAGTGAGAGGCCCGCGTACCACAAAAAAAAAAAAAAAAAAAATCGACAACATATAATGTAGTTGACATCTCAGTCTGCAGAGGTAGATCCGTTTGAAGCTCAAGAGGATGGTCTTTCATGCTAGTGATAATATCAAGGGAGTTGTTGATAAGGAACGGGTCTTCTTTTCCTGATAACGTTCTGATGTTTAGAAAGAAAACTTTGGGTAAATGACTTCTGTGTTTTTCTTCCTGTTTAGAGCCAAGTGATGAGTTATGGATTGGCTTAAATGACATCAAGATTCAAATGTACTTTGAATGGAGTGATGGATCCCCTGTAACATTTACCAAATGGCTTCGTGGAGAACCAAGTCATGAAAACAATAGGCAGGAAGACTGTGCGGTGATGAAAGGCAAAGTAAGGCAACTTTAGTTACTGATATCTAGCGAAAGCCACAGGGAAATTTTCCTTCTGCCCCACTTACTACGTACGATTGTTTCCATTGTTTCTATTCTACTGAATTGACATAGATCAAGGTTGAACGAGAATTCGGATTCAGTTTTTTGAGTCTCTCAATTGTCTGGCACACCCAAATTCTCAAGAGGACTAGAAAAGCAACAGACAGAAACTTTCATTTCAAAGATGAAATTAACCAATAACGAACGCTCATATCATTCCTATGCTTGGTTCTACGTTTGTTTTTTTTTAAATTTTTATTGGAGTATAGTTGATTTTCAGTGTTGTGTTAGTGTCTACTGTACAGCAAAGTGATGCATACACACATATCCGCTCTTTTTTAGATTCTATTCCCATATAGGTCATTGCAGAGTATTGAGTAGAGTTCTCTATGCTATACAGCAGGTCCTTATTAGTCATCTATTTTATATATAGTAGTGTGTATATGTCAATCCCAATCTCCCAATTTATCTCTTCCCCCTTTTCCCCCCTTTTCCCCTGATAACCATACTTTTTCTACATCTGTGACTCTGCTTCTGTTTTGTAAATAAGTTTATTTGTACACGTTTGTTAGATTCCACGTATAAGTGATACATATTTGTCTTTCTGTGTCTGACTTACTTCACTCAGTATGACAATCTCTAGGTCCATCCATGTTGCTGCAATTGGCATTATTTTGTTCTTTTTCATGGCTAATATTCTGTTGTATATATGTGCCACATCTTTTTTATCCATTCCTCTGTCGATGGACATTTAGGTTGGTTCCATGTCCTGGCCATTGTAAATAGTGCTGCAATGAACATTGGGGTGCATATATCAAATTATAGTTTTCTCTGGGTATATGCCTAGGAGTGGGATTGCTGGGTCATAGGGTAGTTTTATTTTTGTTTTTTGGAGGAACCTCCATACTGTTCTCCATAGTGGCTGCGCCAGTTTACATTCCCACTGATGGTGTAGGAGGGCTCCCTGTTCTCCACAGGTGGTGGCACATGTTTTTATATGGCTTGATTAATCAATTCAGAGCTTTGGTCCTACTTTTAGCTGGTTGCCCTGAGTGGATGGAGACCTAGCTAGATCTCCTCTGGGTCCAACAGCCTAGAGTCTGTGCTTGGAGAGCTACAGATTTTTTTTTAGGTTACAAAGAGATGCCAAATATGAAAAAATGGCTTCCGTGTCTTAAATATCCCTTTAGCGACTGAAGTATATCATCAAGTGATCTTTTGTTAATAGAGAATGAAGATGGTGGTTCAGGGGCTTGGTTTTGATGTATGGCTTATTTCCTCACTTGTAAAATAATAATAATAATCATACCCAGTTCATATGGTGGGTATAAGGATTAAATGGGTTAAGGTGTATAACGTGCACAGTGCCTGGCCCAAACTTCCTGCTCAGTAAGTATTAGCTACTATTTTTATCATTGTGGTTCTTACCATGGTGATAAGTTGAAAGCTTAAGAAAAGAGTATGTGTTAATTATTGAAAGAATAGGCAGAAGTGTGTCCTGGGAAGGGGAAACCAGAGAGCATCGTACTTGTAGGGGACTCAAAAGACAGTGTGGCTGAAAGCATGGAGTGAGAGGTAGAGGGGTGTGTAGGGAAAATACTGGCCATGAGAAAACATGCATTAGCCTGAGAGTAGCCAAACCTAATCTGCAATTTGCAAATATTACACTGGCTGAAGAGTTGAATACCAGGTTGTAGTGGGTACGGAAAACATTTTTCAAGGTGTTTAGCAGTTAAGGGAAGGAGAAGAGAAGTCTTTTAACGTGAAGTCTCTAAGGAAGGCAGAAAGGGTGGAATTTGAAGTAGAGTGAAATATGGTACCTGAGCTCCGGGGGGACCCTCATCAATAGAAATGGGAAGAATGGAGGGAAGAAAACTGGTTTCAGGTGTGTTTTCAGGTTGGGCCTTCTTTCTGGGTGGCTTTAAACGTACTCAGTTAACTTGAAAACAGCTGCCCATAGGGATGGAAGAGGAGGTAAACCTTCTGTTGGGACCATCTCTTAAGGGCTTATGAGCATTTTTCATTTCTCTCTAGATCCCCCTCCAGAGTGGCTTGACAGCGAAGATATAAAAAACATACTGGGGCTACAATCTCTTTATATCTTTGTAGCCAAAGTCAAATTTGCAGTTTCCTGGTAAAATGTCCATTTACCTTTCCTTTTCATAGATGCCTTTTTCTCTTAATAACCTCGAACCTTTATTTCCCTTTTCAGAGGTGCAGTTATGAGGAAATAGCACCAAACAACTGATGATCATTGAGTTTTTGGTTTTTTTTTTCCTTTGCTTTCTGCAGGATGGGTACTGGGCGGATCGGGCCTGTGAACAGTCTCTTGGCTACATCTGTAAGATGAAATCACAAGCCCAAACTCCAGGAATAGTGGAAGTGGAAACAGGCTGCCGGAGAGTGAGTACAGAAAGCACGCAGTGGTTTCAGATCAGCAGATATGATGTGATAGCTTTATTTTTGTCTGTGAAGGTACTTAATAATAGGGGCCAACTGCTTCACCTTACAGGTAGTGGTAGTCTATGACGCGATGGGTCATCAAGGACATTTCCAGTGGACAACCTTAATTTGCAGATAGCAAACAATCCTTAGTCATTTTTTCCATTTATAATATTTCTGGTGAGCCTGTTTCTGGTGGGGAGTCTTCTCAGTAGATCCCTGAGGGTCTGGGAGGCAGGAGGTCTAGACTCTAGTTGGTAGTACCAGGTAGTAACTCAGTTAAACCAAGTCAAACCATGCAGTCCTGTCGTGCTTTATTCTCACCTGCAGCACAGTTAGTAATACCTCCCCGCAGGTCTTATCTTTCTTTGAGGTTAAAGTAACTGATTTCTGTGGCGCTGTTTCTAAAAGCAAAATACGGGGCGTATGGTTGTCATTTTCCTGTTTGATCGCTGAGTTGCCCATCTTCCTCTTTTTTCCTTTCTCACTTCTCTTGGATAAAAATAAAGTAGAAACTGATTTTCTGTCCAAGAGTGTCAAGTTGTGATCAAATCATAACAAACACCAGAATTCATGAAACATACTTGAGTACTGACCAATTAAACCATAAAGAAAAATAGAGCAAACACAGAAAATCATACAGTGAGAGACAGAAAGGATCTTAGTGATGCTTGAAGAACCCCTTTTAATTTTTGCGTTCTGGAAATTTCAGCCCAGAGAAGTGATAACTTTGTATGAGTCACACAGAGGTAAGGCTAGAACCCAAGTTTCCTGCCAAGTACACTTTCACTGCTGGTTTCACTACCAGTATACTTACATATTCTTTGCCTAATCATATGCAGGTACAGGAGATTGTCTATTATTGTAATTTTCTATAAGTAATAAACCAATCCTCAAATTTTATTACTTCTACACAATCAAAATTTTGTGTATATTTTTTCTGTGAACTGTTATGTCTATAATGATAAAATCCAATTTAATCATTAGGTTAAATAATAAGAAGAAGAAAATATTGGCCAACTGTTTGTTGAGTGTGGTTATTATGCTTTCAGTGATCTTAAAAGATAAACATTATGTTTCTAACTAAACAGGAGAAGATACAAGAACTCAGAGATATTAATTTAGCCGGTTTAAAAACACATGCTCTAGGCACTGATTTCCTCAAATCACTGGAAAGTCTAGAAAACGAATCCACTTGTCAACAAAGGAAGATAATAGTTTTTTTGTCTGGGCCTGGGTACTTGGTGGTGTAGACGTATTTCTGAGAATTCAAAACTACAGGCCTTCTGTCATAAAGATCTGGGATTCAGTTTTCAATTCATTGCTACCTGCATGGGAAACCTTGATCTAAGAAATTAACATGAAGTGGTCTCAAGTTGCTAATATTCCTGGATGTCTGACGGACGCAAATGTAAATCCTCTTTATGCAGAAGTCCTCCTTCCCAGGCTGATTGGGAATCCCACAGACGAGTGTGAAATCCAGAATTATAAAACATACCACCAGGAGCTTAGACGGTGGAATTAATGGAGATGACATTAAAGTGAATGTGTATTAAAATGCTTACAGAAATAAAAGGTGGAATTGAAACGATGGACCAGCCACCAAGTTTTGTTATGTGGTGTTTTCCTATGATTAAATTGTAAAGATTTTTTATTTCCATGAAGGTTTTTTTGACCCATGAATTATTTAGAAATGTGTGTGTGTGTGTTTTCATAGTGGTAGAATTTGCTGGTAGTGATGGGGGTTTGTTTGTGTTTTAGTTCCTAAATAATTGGGAGCTACTGTTGATTTAAATTTCACTGCATTGTGCTCATATAAAGTTTTTGTTGTTATTTGTTGAGATTTTCTTCATTATCTAGTTAATAGTCAGTTTTTATAAATATTCCATCTGTGCTTGGACAGAATGATCTTTGATCTGGGGGTTCAGGGGTCTATATATGGTGACTAGATAGAACTTAGCAATTATATTATCCAGATATTCTGTATTTCTAATATTTTGTCTGCTTGACAAAATATTCTCCTTGTAATTGTATCAAGTTTTGATTTATGTACTTTGATCTGTATTATATCTTCTTGGTGAATCAGTCCTTCAACTATGTAATTATTTTCTTCATTCATAGTAATGCTTTTTTATCATAAAGTCAATTTTAAATAATATTGCCACAGAAACTATCTTTTGCATGGTATTTGCCTGGAACCTCTTTCTCCAGCTGCTTGCTTTTTTTTTTTTTTGCGGTACGCGGGCCTCTCACTGCTGTGGCCTCTCCCATGGCGGAGCACAGGCTCCGGACGCGCCGGCTCAGCAGCCATGGCTCATGGGTCCAGCCACTCCGTGGCATGTGGGATCCTCCCGGCCCAGACACGAACCCATGTCCCCTGCATCAACAGACGGACTCTCAACCACTGCACCACCAGGGAAGCCCCCCCTTATATTTTTAACATGCATTCCTGACTTGAAGTTAACCAATATCTCTCTCTGCCTCATGAACAAAATGAATGTTAATTATTCCACTCAAACATTCAAAATTTTTCAAATTTTGAAGTAATGTTAGACTCACAAGAAGTTGAAAAAAAGAGTACCGAGAATTCCCCTGTATCCTCCACTCCACTTCAGCCAATGACAGCATTTTCTCTAACCAGAGTACATGATCACTACAGGTAGTCGGCATGGATACAATATTATTGACTAAACTACGGATCTTATTACTATTCCATTCTTTAACTTCCCACCACCAATTAGGTATCTTTGCTATTTGTCCAGGCAGTTAGACCTGGATTTACTAACATTTATTGACTTCTTTGCTCAGTGTAGACTTTTAGCCCACTTGCTCCTCTTGTCTTTCCTTTCTCTCCAAAGTAAATCTTTTAGAATTTCTTTCCCTGGGATTTGGGAGTGGAAAACTCTCAGTCTTTGTTTGGAAATCTCTTGAATTCATCTTCACCCTGCGTAGTAACTTATGTAGGTCATTTTAGAATTCTAGATTGATAGCTGTTTTCTGACAGCACTTTACATATTATTTCATTTTCTCCTGGCCTTTATTTTTGCCATTGGAATTCCTACTAGACTAAATCTTTTTTTAAAAAGTGGATACTCTGTATTTTCTCTCTGATTGATTTTAAGATCTCATTTTCTCTGTCTGTAAGTACAGTGTGTTCAGTTTTGGATTTATTTTATTGGTTCCATTTGGTATTGAGTGTGCCTCTTCATTTTGAGGATTTGTATCTTTCCATTCTTGAAAATTACCAGTCATTAATTTTATTCAGTGCTTCTGAAACTTCTCTCAGGTTGATTTTCAACCTTCTCATTCTATCATTTATATTTTCTATCAATATGATTTTTAAAACATCTTTTCATATTCTCATCTCTCCTACATTCAATTTACTAATCTTTCTGAAACCGTGTTTTCTATATTTAATCTGGCCATTGAGTTTTTAACTTCATATTTTTCTTTTCTAGAAATTCTTTTTTGTGTGTGTTTGAATCCTCTCGTTCTTTGTTCATAGTATTTTGATCTTTCATCATTGATTCTGTTTCTTCTTTTGTCACTTAAATCATCTCAACATGCTTCTTTTTATATTTTTTCCAGATTGTTTTATGATGTTAAACTGTTGACTCTCCCTTAAAATGAGGCATTTTTCTCACATGGTTTATAATTTTTGATTGTGAATTTGTCCCCATCCCATCCCCACCCTGACCCTCAAATGTCATAGTCTTACGTGACCTGGATTGTGGACGTATTTCTGTCATGTGGTTTTACATTTTACTTCTCAAAGTGCCTGCAAGATCCTCCTTCTGTAGACTACATTTTATATTTTATTTTTGGGGCTTAGATTCTCATACAATGTGGAGAGTGTAAAGTTGGGACTGGCACCCATCTATGGCACAGAATTGGTATTTATTTTCAAACAGAAGAATTTTTTTTTCTTCCTTCACCCAGAACCCCAGGCAGGTGACAAGAATCTCTGTCATTTCCTCCTTCTGTGGGTGGAGTTTTCTCACTCTCCTTTCAAAGAGGGGCTACCCTTCGTGGGTATCATCTTTACACAAGGACTTCAGTTCTATCTCCCTGCCTCAGGTGGGCTGATGGCCAAATATCTAACCTGTATGGACATTAATACCCCAGCCCCTGGACTCCAGGACCTTAATCTTGGTCTGATACGTAACCAGGCAACTACAGTCTCAGCTTGTGCATTTTCCATCCCAGCTCTTTAGTTTTCTAGTATTTATTTTTGATACCTGGAGATTTCCCCTTCTTTCTCCCAAACTCTAGTATGGATTTTCTGTTTATTGTTATGATTTTATTTAGCATGCTTTTATTTCTGTGTGTTTGAAGTGTGGGAGAGGAAGCACGTCAAATCATGTTGCCAGAAGTTTGATAAGTGCTATCCTGTGACCAGGTGGTGCAGCTTTATACTCACCATCTACTACTGGCTTCAATAGGTGACTAGGCTTGTTACTCTGCAAATTATTTCCTGTGGTTACCTATTCTAAAACTGAGATCTTAGCCATCTTGTTCAGTTTCTTGGGTAAACATGTCACAAATGATTTTTGTTGGAAGTTGCATCAGAAGTGGAGAGAATGACTCCCCTCACCCCATTTTGTATCATAATTGCCATTTGAGGAACAATGCACTCCTGTTTTCCTTATTCACATAAATTGTTTTCATTGCATGTCAAATGATTCTTATTTGTGTTCTTTACACACTTCTGTTGTTTATCAATTTGTGTTTCATCATAGAGGAATTATTAAAATGATATTATATAATAAATATGCATGATAATCTGCTTCATAACATCAACAGGGCTGGAAAAGACATGGCTTCTACTGCTATTTGATTGGACACACACTTTCAACATTTACAGAAGCAAACCAAACCTGTGTGAATGAGAAGGCTTACCTAACAACTATTGAAGACAGGTATGCAACTATTTTCATGTTTTTAAAAAAATGTATCCAATAATGAACCATTTCCAAAAAAGCATATCAATGTGCTCTAAATTTCTGAGTAAATTCCATTGAATCTTGAAGTGCGGTTTGTAAATATAGGAGCATTAAAAATCATGTTTTTATTTGGATTCTTCATTGAAAACACAATAAAATATTTTGCTACTTTTAGTAGCATAAAACGATGTTCAGAACAGTTTGCTAATGCTCTGGTAAATGTTGTTTATAGATCTAACTTTATTTATTTACTTGTTGGAGTATAATTGCTTTACAATGTTGTGTTAGTTTCTGCTGTACAAGGAAGTGAATCAGCTATATGTATACCTATATCCCCTCCCTCTTGGACCTCTCTCCCACCCACCCCCATCCCACCCATCTAGGTCGTCACAGAGCACCAAGCTGAGCTCCCCATGCTATACAGCAGGTTCCCACTAGCTAGCTATTTTACACATGGTAGTGTATTTATGTCAAACCTAATCTCCCAATTTGTCCCACCCTCCCCTTCCCCCCCGTGTCCACATGTCCATTCTCTACCTCTACATCTCTATTCCTTCCCTACAAATAGGTTCATCTGTACCATTTTTCTAGATTCCACATATATGCGTTAATATACGATATTTGTTTTTCTCTTTCTGGCTTACTTCACTCTGTATGACAGACTCTAGGACCATCCACGTCTCTACAAATGACCAAATTTCGTTCCTTTTTATGGCTGAGTAATATTCCATCGTACATATGTACCACATCTTCTTTATCCATTCGTCTGTTGATGGCCATTTAGGTTGTTTCCATGTCCTGGCTATTGTAAATAGTGCTGCAATGAACGTTGGGGTGCATGTGTCCTTTTGAATTACAGTTTTCTCAGGGTATATGCCCAGTAGTGGGATTGCTGGGTCATTTGATAGTTCTATGTTTAGTTTTATAAGGAACCTCCATACTGTTCTCCGTAGTAGCTGTATCAATTTACATTCCCACCAACAGTGCAAAAGGGTTCCCTTTTCTCCACACCCTCTCCAGCATTTACTGTTTGTAGATTTTTTGATGATGCCCATTCTGACTGGTGTGAGGTGATACCTCATTGTAGTTTTCATATGCATTTCTCTAATAATTAGTGATGTTGAGCATCCTTTCATGTGCTTCTTGGCCATCTGTATGTCTTCTTTGGTGAAATGTCTATTTAGGTCTTCTTCCCATTTTTTAATTGGGTTGTTTGTTTTTTTGATATTGAGCTCCATGAGAGATCTAACTTTTTAAAAATGTAGCAGATCTCAAATTTTTTAAAGCAAAAAAAGTAAGTAAAATTTGTCAGGTCCAAAATCATACTTTCTATCTTTACTACCACCTCCAACAAAAAAGAAGGCAGAGAGATTTACTGAATATTTTATTCATTCTTTCCAGTCTTCCATTCTTTGTTTTGCTTTGCTTTGCTAGTTTTACTAGATTATTAGTCCAGATTAATTAGTCCAGATTATTAGTCCAGAAAATGATGTGGACACAGAGAATTTTATGTAACTTTTTTTTTTTTTTTTTTTTTTTTTTTTTTTTTGCGGTACGCGGGCCTCTCACTGCTATGGCCTCTCCCGTTGTGGAGCACAGGCTCCGGACGCGCAGGCTCAGCGGCCATGGCTCACGGGCCCAGCCGCTCCGCGGCATGTGGGATCTTCCCGGACCGGGGCACGAACCCGTGTCCCCTGCATCGGCAGACGGACTCTCAACCACTGCACCCCCAGGGAAGCCTTTATGTAACTTTTAACGTCTAGAGTCCCATCTTTCTTTAGGTTTTAGTATTTATTTTTCTCCTGCTTTTTGCAAAGTACTGGATCAGGCACAGAAGAAACTTAAAAGAAATTTTTAAAAATGTCCATTTGATTGGAAGTAAATAGGTAAAAATCATTGAGTTTTAATACAGTAAGTTATATTTATTGACCTTTCAACACAGACCCAATAAAATGTAGAGGATGCTATTGATATTAAAAATTCTTTGATAAAGTGAAAGATGTCATAGAATTTATATAGTCTTTATAAAAGAACTTGTTTTTCAACATTCTTTTTTCATGTATAATTAAATGTCTGATACATTGTAATACCCTGATACAATGCTAACCTCTGAAAATAAGATCATAGATAATTTTTATCTTATGACCTGGAAGTGAGCTATACATTTTTAAGTACTGTGGGAGCATGTTCTGATCTGTACTGTTGGTCTTTGGTCTACTGGAATAGAGATTTCCCTAGATTTTCTATTTTAAGTTTGCTTTTCCTTATGTGTTTTCAGTAATACTTGTGTTCAGGAACTCACTAACTCTGTGGTTCAATTTGGTTTTGGGGCCTTAAGAAAAATTGAGTTGTTACTTTTTAACTTTTTTGGTTTGTTCAGTTTAGGGAATGAAATTATTCGGACTAGGGTCAAACAAATGTTCTGTTATTGTGGCTTTCTCTCCATTTCTCTCTCTATTCTCACTGGAGCCATCTACAGCTCCCTTTGTTCCTGGAAACTCTGGACATCACTTTTCTTTTGCTCCAAAGAGATTTTTTTTTGCATATGTTGCTGCGCCATTGTCTGTTTATCAATTAAGACAAATTTTGTTTGCCTTACCAACTACATTGTATTATTACCAGATTACGTCAAATATAAGGACGGGATCCAGAGGAGAGCGAACGCTGGAATTTGTGATTCTGCTCCCAGTTCTTTCTAGAGATTGAATCTCTAGTTCTCTGTATTTCTTGATAATTTTCTCTTGTTTCAGAGCTGAAAAATGAGAATGAAATTGAGTGGAAAATCCACACAGATTTTCTAATTGTATTGTCCTCGATAATGTTACAACCTCTCCACTTACTTCACCAAGAATTGTGTAGAGCATTTGAAATATTTGAAAAGTGGACTGATTTTCAAACAATGTATTTTAAAAGGCGATAGTTTTCTCCTTTGCATTTTGAGTTCTCTTTCACTTTGAGAGGAGCAGAGGGACTGGTGAGCAACAGAGAAAAATAGTTCGGGTACATTTGAATGACTTTATTCAATCAGCTGTATGATATTTTTCCTTCATAAGATCACATTTCCTTAGTGAAAATTTCCTTAGTGAAAATTTGAAAATTATTTAAATGACATGTAAATAGAACACAATAGGTTTGATTTGCCAACTGAAGCATAGCTCAGGCATACAATTGAGATACTTTTCATGTGGATAATTAGAAAAATTCACATTTTTCTAAAATTTAGTTCTTTTTTTTTTTTTTTAAGATATGAACAAGCCTTTCTGACTAGTTGGGTTGGATTGAGGCCTGAAAGATATTTTTGGATAGGACTTTCAGATGTACAAAACAAAGGAACTTTTCAGTGGACCATCGCGGAAGGGGTTCAGTTCACCCACTGGAATTCAGATATGCCAGGTATGTTCAGAGCTTCGGTCTTGTTTCAGGTGGTCTGGAGAGCGGACCAAGAATCTGTGTTCTTTTTTCTGCTTTTTTGGCCGCACCATGTGGCCTGAGGGATCTTAGTTCCCCGAGCAGGGATGGAACCCCTGCCCTCTGCAGTGGAAGCGTGGATTCTTAACCACTGGACCACCAGGGAAGTCCCAGCACTTTGGTCTTGCGTTTCCATTCACCCTACACGTCCATCGGGCCAAGCCTGTAATTCCTTCACAGCACCTTTCCAAACAGACTTATGTAAATTAATTGTGCTTTTTAGATTTTATTATCTCATATTTCATTCTCTTTTTGCTTTTCCTTTTAAAAATGTTCCCATTAGTTTGCAGTGGTCTAAAAAAAAAAAAAAAAAAAAGGGAAGAGAAAACTGCTAGGTTATCCGGTACCGCTCTATTTGAAGTATTTATGAAACAGTGATGAAATCCTGAATGGTCATAAAGATTCCAAATGGTTAACTTACTTCTGAGAACTTAAAACTGTCCTCAAGGGGTATAAAGCTTTTCAGTGTAACTATGAATGGAATTATGACTGCGCTAAATCTGGAACAAGATGTAGTGCTTGTGTGGAACTCATTATTTCCATATCTTGAATGGGCTACCCCGTTTAGCCCTTGATATGCCTTGGAGTTAATTTTATCCTTATAGGAAACCTGCAAGGTAAGTTTAAGTATCCTCATTGTAAAGAGGTGGAAACTGGAACTTGAAAAATTTATAAGCACGGATTTAGACTAATCTTTGTAATTTCCAAATCCAGGCTGTTTGCACTAAGATCACCCTCCCTCCCTATAAATTTTGATTTGCCTTCTTTTTTTTTTTTTTTTTTTGCGGTACGTGGGCCTCTCACTCTTGTGACCTCTCCTGTTGCGGAGCACAGGCTCCGGACACGCAGGCTCAGTGGCCATGGCTCACGGGCCCAGCCGCTCCGCGGCACGTGGGATCTTCCCGGACCGGGGCACGAACCCGTGTCCCCTGCACCGGCAGGCGGACTCTCAACCACTGCGCCACCAGGGAAGCCCGATTTGCCTTCTTTAATAAGAAGTTTCTGAAGTAGACTTTGAAAGGTTCTTTGCTTTCTTTATGCACTGGTGTCTAGCCTGTGACATAATTCAGTATGACTGCACTTAGGAAATTCAATGTCCTTATAGCAAGTGTTTCATTGTGCCTGGATAAAAAGCTAAAGAAGGAATAATATAGCTTAAGGGCACAAATTAACTACTTGGCCTAATAAGTCCTAATCTTCAGAAGTTTTAAAAATTTGTATCCTCAGCTGTCAATAAGGAAAAGAGATCAGTAATTTGGATGGTGTGATTTTTGTTTAATTATTGAACATTCTGAAAAATAGTAAGACTTCAGTTTATTTTGAAAGAACAGGGCAGTATATTAAGAACTGTGTGCACGTTTTTGCTTTTTTGAAGGGTGGTAATTCTTACTCTCCAGGCAAAACTCCTTCATTTCACTGGTGTTGATCATTTAGGAGTAGGATTCTGAGAGATTAATCCTGTAACATCCTTAGGGAATAAAAATGGATCAAACCCGAGTCATAGGGAATTAGCAATCTTACAGAAAATACTTTGGGAAAAATATACCTCCCCAGAACTTGGAGCGTTACTTCTAAACATTTACTGCCTTTAAAAGGACAGCAACCAAAGACTATCTCATGTTAGCAGCAAGGAATCCTAATGTTTCCAAAGCTCTATCTTAATTACTATTTCGAAATAATGATGATAGTAAAACAGAAAGCTTCAAACCATGAAGCTTAGTGTAGTCCACACTGTCTTTTATGTACTTTTTTATCCATTAAAGCTGGCGTGCATCACAACTCCGTAAGGTAGGTAGCAGTATTTGCATTTTAAGACGAGGAAATGGGTTCATAGTAGTTGAGTAATTGATCTAAAATCTCTAGCTCAGGCGTGTCTCATTTTGAAGTCCAAAGAACTTCTGTTCTCAGATATCTACATGGACCCCAGGGGGAAAAAATAACAGATCTTAAATAATTTTTTTTAAAAAAGAAAGAAACATCAAAACCCCATTATTTTTGGGTATATGTACGTGTATAACTGAATCACTTTGCTGTACACCTGAAACTAACACAACATTGTAAATCAACTAGACAGCGATATAAAATAAAAAATAAATTCAAAAAAAATCAACTTCCTTGGGAAAAGAAACCCAAAATGTTATTTTTGTCATTACGGTAAATTTTATCATACTAAAACTATTGTACTGTTAAATGTCTGTGTTGAGGGGGACACCCTGCCAGATACTAGAAATGCAAAATGTTACCAAAACCCTGACATTTGAGATTATAATTCAGTTGGGGATACGGGCCACACAAATAAAAGGTAAATAATGGTTCAAAAATAGCACAAATCAGTAGCCAAATGCTGCAGGATCCTCTACATCTTCTCGTCACATGTAGATTCGATCCCACAGCTTGAGGCTCAGGGTTGAACGGTCTTCCGTGAACATAGCTGGCTTTCACAATCACTTGTTGAGTGAATTCTGCTTTGTTACCTGCAGGACGGAAAGCCGGGTGTGTTGCCATGAGAACTGGGGTTGCAGGGGGCTTGTGGGATGTCTTGAGATGTGAAGAAAAGGCAAAATTTGTGTGCAAACACTGGGCAGAAGGAGTAACTCGCCCACCAGAGCCTACAACCACCCCGGAACCCAAATGTCCAGAGGATTGGGGCACCTCCAGTAAAACCAGCTTGTGTTTCAAGGTAAATCTCAGTTGCTGAGCTCTTAAAGAATTGGGGATATGCTTCAGCCTAAAATCACCTAAGGAATTGAAACAAAACCAATGCCCAGGCTCCACCTGTAGAAATCCTGATTTTATTGATCTGGCAGGGGGCTGGGGCATCCACTGTTTTTAAAGAGCTCTCCTTGGGTGGATTGCTAAGGACCAGTTGCTTTTAGACCAGCAAACATAGCCCATACCACAAACACAACTCACCTTTCTTCGCCTCCTTTCCTTCTTCACCTCCCACTCTTGGCGTCTTTCCTCTCTCCCATGCTTGCTTGCCCTAGTATGAGCTCGCACTTCTTTCTATCTTAGTGAAAATTTCTGCTCCCCCTCATGCTAGCCTGTGGCATCGCATTTTGGCTCTGTTCTTGGAGCCCAAGCTTTAGGCTAAGTGAACTGATAAACGAATCTGCGATCATGTCACACTGGGATTCTGGAGAGTATACTCCCTTGTTCTGATTTAACCCCTGATTATTATGCCTGATGAGAGATGAAAGACTTCCCATAGGGGCACATGGCCGTTCAGTGACCTATAAATGACAATTTGATATCCTGCTATCCACCAATACATTCCTAGACTGGACCATCCGTTTTCTCCTTATGCAATCAAGTTCACCCAAACAAAAAACATACCCCATACCCCAGTGAATTAAGCATTTGGGTTTTTTTTCTCTCTTATAAATCATATTCTTTCTAGAGAAGGTTGGGTTTAGCCAAATATAGCAATGTACTTCTCTACCACTTAATGACATTGTTCTCTAAAGGCCAGTTCTCTGGACTTCTTTTGTTCAGTCCTTTGAGGCATATGGCCCTGGTATGTTTTGTAAGACAGTTAGGCAAAGCTGATGAAGAACCTGAGTTACTAACATGTGTCAGAATGAGGTTGTTTAGTCTCCTCTAACTCAAGGGCTAGTTGAGCTGGTAACTTCTACTTAGCAGCAACAGAGACTCATTAGCTGTTCAATCCAGATTAGCCAGTCAAAGCTAAAAGCATAATTTACATAGAAGGGAACATATTGAGCCAAGACAGGAGAGGATTTTACAAATGGATTGAGGACTAATGCAAAGCCAATCAGGTATTTGATTGCTGCCTCTGGAAACTTTTGAGTTATTGCACAAGGGCCAGGTTCGGCCTATGCACAGCCATTCGCCTGAGGGTGGGAGGCTATGGAGATGAGCTGCAGAATTTTTGAGAGAAGGAGTAGAATTCTCCAGAGCTGGGAAGTGAACCAGGGCTTCCAGCAGATGTTATCCAGGTGGATGTTCAACGAATCCAAGTATGTACTTCCCTAGAAATTATGGTTTTAGAGGTGCTTGGGGTAGGGTTTGTTTGAAAACATATAGACCATCTTTGTACATATTAAGATGTGAGAATTAGTAATAAAATTCAGCTGTTAGTAAATTGATTTAAGAAAATAAAATCTTATATCACCATCTAGCAACTTGAGATATTCACAGGAGTCTTGAGAATTACTGCAGTGGAAAGTTGCTCAGGTTACCTGTATCCAGATAACTCAAGTAAGGTCAAGGTGAAGATCGCCTTGGGTTGCTCTATGACAACTGGGCAAACATAGTCCACTGGAAGCAAATCCCTTTTTCTACAAGCGTGCAGTGGTGGGCGCCACGTCTCATGAGAAATAATGAATGAAAATTATAAAAGTTGGTGGATACAATGAACTCCTTTACTGTTTGCATCCTGATGGATATTTCCCATACTATCACTATGGATAATATGACATATTCTTTACATTCTATAAATCTTAGCTTTAATTTAGCTTATATCCCATCTTTTTAGATGCTCTCCCCGATAAGTGTCAGTCATGACACGTTCTCCAATCGTTGTTAAAATATACATCCATAAGGAAAAAGGGAAAGGCAGTTTTAAGAACACAACAACAAAGTGTTGGAAGGCTGCCGCGTTATTCATTGTTTAAGCTAAACAGGATAACAAACTGTGACGCAATCTTAGGGAGGTTATTACCCTTAAATTTTTGAAATTCATGTTTACTTTCTCTATATCAAGTTTCTTTTCATTCTTTTCCATCTCAACGCTACTTTTTACACTTAACCAAATTAATCCTATCTTCTACAAGAAGCTGTATGCCAAACGCATACGCCTAAAGCTTTTAATCTGACTTCTCCAGGTGCTATAAAATAAGTTCATTTTCTAAGGTTTTCTCAACAAAATCATCCCCCAAATTGGGGCCATTGTAATGTCTTGCTTTTCTATAAATGAAATCTCATCACAAGTAGATTATTTCTCTTGGTTTGATAAGCTATGAAGTGTAAAATAAATTCTGAATCTGTATCACCTTTAGCTGTTTACAAAAGGAAAACATGAGAAGAAAACATGGTTTGAATCTCGAGATTTTTGTAGAGCTCTGGGTGGAGATCTAGCTAGTGTCAATAATAAGGAGGAACAGCAAACAATATGGCGATTAATAACGTAAGTAGCTTTTCTATACAATACTCCTTTCTTTGACCCGTTGGGTGTTAATGATGTTGAGAAAATTCTCATATTTCCAGAATTGTTGGCTCCTTATGCTGCTTTGGATACGTATATCCTATCCTGAATCCGTGGGCACTTTTTGATTTAGTTTCACTTCTAAATGCTTTAATTTTATAGATATAAATCCTGTGATGAATTGCTCTATAAACGTATAAGACACTCAGTACATATTGTTAAATGAATAAATGAATGAGTACCTTCCAATGCTTTACAGTTCTTTCAAACAGCAGCTTGTTTTCAGGATATTTACAGGTTGTACCAAAATGCACAACTGTTGCATAAAGCTTACATTTAGTCATTGAATCCCTTTACCTGTGTACTAACTAATTTATGTTTTGGGGGTCATTTTCAAATTGGATTAGGACTCACAGGTAACCAAACTTGGTTCATAAGCTACCTTTATATCTTGTATGTTGCAGAGCTAGTGGAAGCTACCACGAACTGTTTTGGTTGGGACTGACATATGGAAGTCCTTCTGAGGGCTTTACTTGGAGTGATGGATCTCCTGTGAGTAATTTGACTTAACATATCATTTTCTTACTTTATCATGTATTTATTTTGGTGTTAACCTTTTGGCTTACTCCAAATTTTTGGTAAGATGGGTTATTATGAGAGCTAGAGACCTTTTTCTATGCAAAATGAATGCACTTTAGGACCATTATTCTGCCTCTGTCCCAGGACAGTTCTCCTGTTCACCCAAGGTGGAACATGGTGGACTGGCTGAAAAAAATTAGGAAACTCATTCCCCTAATTGATATAAAATAATGTCTTCATTCTCTCATGCCAAGTTGGTATGCAAGTAGCTAGACTTCTTAAAAATTGAGTGTTTTGTGACCTCTTGTAGACTAGGAGGTATGGAAACAACTTTTGATATTCCATTAGAAACCATTAGGCTTTGTCAGACTTCTCCATTCTCAGGAACGGGGAAGTGAGAGGCTGTGGCACGTGCTGGCCATCATCACAGGAAGTGATTTTGTATACTTTCAGTTCTACTTCCTGTCCCAACCCATCAGCAACTTTTCAAGGTGCTCGGTAGGGTGGATTATACTTGATGGCTCCATTGTTAACATGGATTTTATATTTAGATCTCTGGAAAATAGATCGTGATGCTTATTCTAAAACCTTGTGGGCTATGATTCCACTCTGAGAACTCCGCAGAGGACCTAATCCCGGCCCTCCATTTATTTCCACTGTTCACTTTGGCAACGTTTGGTAGCTTCCTTAGTAACATTTCATGTCTTTTCTTTTGTAAGGAGAACTAATTATATTTCTGTCTCCTACCCCTCTAGTAAAAAGAAAGTTTCCAGTATCACAATGAAATATTATCCCTTAAGAATGAGTTATAAATTGAGGAACTCCCAATACTGAGAAGTGGAACTTTTTGCCAGGTTTTTCCTGTATACAAATCCCACTTTCATGGCCCTGGATCCATTCTATTTAATAAGGGGAGAAGAAAATTTTATAATACTTAATAGCATACTCTATTTGACTTCAGAAGTTTCATTTAATGAAAGCTATTTCTTTCCCAGCTGTGTTCATAAAACTTGTTTGCAAAACAAACCTATTGTGAAAAAAAACTGAAGCGATTAAGAAATGTAAACATCTTTCCTTTTGTGTTTGGATGGTTGATTGGCATTGGCTGATAAAAATGGCTAATGGTTGTAATGTAATGTTTCTAATATAGGTTTCATATGAAAATTGGGCTTATGGAGAACCTAATAATTATCAAAATGTTGAGTATTGTGGTGAGTTGAAAGGTGACCCTGGTATGTCCTGGAACGATATTAACTGTGAACATCTTAACAACTGGATTTGCCAGATACGAAAAGGTATGATGATCTGTCCTCTCCTTTATCTCAGATTGGAGAACTAACCTCCAGTGATCCCAATATCTTCCCTTTATCTGTGGAACCAAACAAACAAAATAAGGGAATTGGCAGGGGCCATCATTTCACAGGATAAGAATGAAGTCGCTGAGCACAGATAAATGTTCCAAAGGAACAGAAGATCAAAAGGCCACCCGGGAGTCCTGGACCAGAGTCACATCCTCCAAAATAATCCCCACGAGCTGCGGTTCTCGCTCAGGTCCTATAGGCATGGGAGTGGGTAGGTGTTCTACTCTGTAAGCAGAGTAATGAGGGTGCAGTTTCTGTTTGGGCATTTCCACCCTCTGACCCACGTTAGTCATCCAATAGGTGAAAGTCTCCCTCAGCCTGAATATGCTGCTTATGGATTTCTCAAGGAAATGTTCAGTCAAAGAACTGGTACCATTTTGAGGCCCCTGATGCTGTAAGACCCACCATGTTATTGATGGCCCCAAATGATCAATGCACACTTATCCGTCATGATTTGTGACTCAGAAAGTTCCACATGTCCAAGTCAGATTCTTTTCAGATAAACAGGTCCACCCTTGAACCAAAATATGTATCACTTCCTCTTCTGTGCACAGATAAGTGGAACCACGTCGCCCCCTGCTGTCGGGGATCCTTGGCTGCTGTTCCAGCTCCATCGCTAAAGATGCTGTGTTGCTCTCCTACTGTCTGTCTGCTTATTTTCCTTACTCTGGCTTAGAGGAGTGTTTCCAATGTTTTCAGAATGGAAGAATAAATAGTGGCCAGTTTTTCTTTAAAAGTCTCTTAGCTACCAAAGACTAATTTCCTTTTGTATTATTAGTAGCTCTGTTCTTACAGATGTTAAATTCATTAAACCCAAAGCTAAGTAACTTGAGTCCTTTTCTTGGATTCCAGCAAAGTCCAAGTATTAGTAACTACTTGGAAAGAAAAATATTTTATGTAGTGTTTCATAAAAAAAACATTTAGTAAGAATAAGTTTTCTTTTCTTTTTAATTTATTTTTGGCTGCGTTGGGTCTTCGTTGCTGCAGGCGAGCTTTCTCTAGCTGCAGCGAGCAAGGGCTACTCTTCGTTGCGGTGCACGGGCTTCTCACTGCAGTGGCTTCTCTTGCTGCGGAGCACGGGCTCTAGGCGCACAGACTTCAGTAGCTGTGTTGTGTGGCCTCAGTAGTTGTGGCTCACAGGCTCAGTAGTTGTGGCGCACGGGCTTAGTTGCTCCGCGGCATGTGGGATCTTCCCGGACCAGGGCTCGAACCCATGTCCCCTGCATTGGCAGGTGGATTCTTAATCACTGTGCTACCAGGGAAGCCCCAAGAATAAGTTTTTGGAAGAAACTATATTTTGTAAATAAATAGTTCGTATTTAATGGTTTCAAATAATGAAAATTTAAGTACTTTCACAGCTCGTTATAAGATGCACCACAGCAAAACGAACATCTATTGAGTACTTTCTAAGCACAAGGAACTCACATTTTACCCCATCTCTTTACGTGTGTGACTAACTCCTTTTTGCAGTTGAGAAAGTTAAGGGTAAGGCATTTAACCCCCAAACTGGGATTTGAACGTAGACTTTCTGATTCCAAAACTCATGTTCTTTTCTTTCTTTTTTATGATGTTACTTTTGGGGCCTAAAAAACTGTCTTCTAATTTCTGGTGGTATTGTTGAACCTGATCTGATTAACTCTTAACTCCTAATTCTGTTTCTCTTTATTCTTCTCCCCCACAACTGATAGGAGAATTGAAGATTGGGAGGGAGGAAGAGAAAGAGAGAGCAGTTAAGTTTTTAGCTCTATTGACCCGTGAAAATAGTGAAACAAGAAGGATATGTAATAGCACAAGTTCAAGCACTGTTTATATCTAATTTTCTTTTGTTTTCCAGGACAAACACCAAAGCCTGAGCCAACCCCAGCTCCTCAAGACAGTAGGTGTTTCCTTTTTTCCTGATTTCTATATTGATAGAAATAGAAAATAGATTCGTTTTTTTCCTCTTTCCTTTCTCAATGGAAAAAAAAAACAAACCAAAACCAAAACAGACAAACAAACCAAAAACCTTACCCTAGGAAGGTGGAGAGAAGAGGTTCTTAATATCTTTGAGAATCTCATGAAAGTTTGGCTCTACTCCTCCAGACAGATACTTCCATGCACAAACGTAGGGCATGTTAATATCACTTCTCAGCTTTCATGAATCAAATCCAAGGCCCTCATGTATTAGTTTCCTATGGCTGCTGTAACAAATTACCACAAGCTTGGTGGCTTAAAGCTACACACATATATTCCCTTACAGTTCTGGAGGTCAGAGATGTGAACTCAGTTTCCCTGGGCTGAAATCAAGGGATAGGCAGGACCATGCTCCCTCCAGAGCCTCTAAGGGTGAATCTACTTCCTTGTCACAAGCTTCTAGAGCTGCATTCCTTGCATGTGTTGGTTCATGGCCCCTCCCTTTATCTTCAGAACCAGCAGTGTAGCATCTTCCTTCGTTTGTCACATCACCACCTTCTTCTGTACTCACATCTCCCTCTGTAAGGATACTGACCATTTACATTTAGGGCCCACCCAGATAATTTAGGGTAATCTCTCCACCTGAAGGTTCTTAACTTAATCATGTCTACCAAGTACGTTTTCCTGTATAGCAGTCACAGATTCCAGAGATTAAGACCTGGGCATCTTTGGGGCTTTTACTCAAACTACTATAGCACAGAATCATGGAATTCCATAGTTGGGAAAAAGCCTTCGGAGCCCTCCTGGTACCTGAATTCCTTAGTTCTTCAATTACACATTGAAGCACCCAAGTCCATCTTTTACAAGTTCTTTGTTAGATTTAAGATGAAAGTTGCTTTCTCACAGTTTCCACTCTTTGAACCTAAAACATCACGGGTGCGTGTATGTCAATCATTCCAGCTCCTATCGATGAATGTAACATTGGGAGTTCTTTTACCCAATAATGATCATGGAACTTAGCTGAGAAGAAAAGTAACTCTTTTTTACAGAGTTAGTGGAAAGTAGATATTTGGATTTAGGTGATTCAGTCTGTATTGGCATCCACTTCCTTCTCCTTCTGAGCTCTCAGAGCTGCAGATACCTCTGATAGCGCTACTCTGCTCTTTTCGCTTTTGTGTGGCATACATACCAGATTCTTGAATTTGTCTAAATAAAACTCATCACCTTTTTTTCACTAATTTTTCAGATCCACCAGTCACTGACGATGGGTGGGCTATTTACAAAGACTACCAGTATTATTTTAGCAAAGAGAAGGAAACCATGGACAAGGCACGAGAATTTTGCAAGAGGAATTTTGGTGATCTTGTTTCTATCCGAAGTGAAAGCGAAAAGAAGTTTCTATGGAAATATGTAAGCATATGATTAATTTAAGAATGGAACAGTGACATGTGCTAAGCAAAGACAATGTCTACGATTGCTACCCCATGGTGCAATTTCCAATTATGTGCTGAATTTGAACCTCCTAAGGTCAGGGGTAAAGATGTGAGTGTCAGGGCAGGGGTGCTGGGTATTGGCCATCGCAGAAGTGAATGACCTGATTGCTGGAGTATTCAGTGGAGAATCAGAGAACCCAGAAACAGTGTTTAGCCTGGGCTTTGGGAGAATCCAGACTTGATGGCTTTGAGTTTACTAATTTGATTTTCAAAGATTATCATTCTTAATATATCAATCCTGGACCCTTTGTGTTTAGTGCAAGTTGATTATAATTTATGTCTTAATCTTAACCAGATTCTTGGTTAATAGATAGTACAGCTTGATTATTCATATAAAAGTCTTTTTTGGTTGTGCCAAAATTGTCAGCTAACAGTGAAGGTATAATTGGTTTCTTTCCAAGCGTCCTTGGCTTGATCTTTCTCTTTAAAAATCTTCATGGCATCTTTATTATTTTCCAGAAAGGAGGTAAGAGGGATAGAAGGAAAAAAATAAGTTCAAAGGTAACGAAAGAATAAAAATTCATTTGATCACAAAGGTATTGGAGTGTAGCACGACTTATCTCCATCTTCGTAGATATACCGTGGTTTGAAATTCTCAGGATCTTTCCTAATATTGCACCAGTATATTTGTGGGTGGAGAAGTCTTTCCTTAGACACATAATCCCAAATGGCTACTTTGTTTTAAAGAACGTCTTTAATAGTGTCTAATGACATCTGATGTTACAGAGAATGTCTTAAGGTATTTGCTATATAAATGCAGGTTGTTATATAATGTGCATACTTTTCCTTTTATTTCTATGAAAACCGTTGAATATACAACAAAGTTTCTGTCTGAATGCCTCCTTAGAAAAGTCCCCAAATAGCCTGCCTCGTTAATCTGTAGGTTTTATTTAAGAATTTGCTTATCATCTAAGTACAGATTGAACTACATGTAAACTTCCATGTTCTAGGTCAACAGGAATGATGCACAGCCAGCATATTTTATTGGTTTATTGATCAGCTTGGATAAAAAGTTTATGTAAGTAAATCAAAATACAACAACTTTGCTTAGGACAGTGCTGTGATGAGCAACAAAAAGTGATTTTCAGATTTTGGTTCTGCTGAATGAATGTAAAAAAAAATCCTGCTGGGCTCTCCATCTACAAAGCATCTTAAAAACACAAACCAATTTTTTAAAATCCTGTTCAATATTTCAACATTATAAATCTCAAACAACTCAGACTCTGATTGAATCTTGCAAAATGTCACCTCTCTTTGTTTCAGGAGGTCATCAACTGTTAGTAAATCGTCTGCTAGGAAGATGTATTATACAGATATGAATATTGAAGCTATTTGAAAAATTATTCCCATTTGGACGGTCCTTGGTGCCTAGAACCAAAGGGGCCTTTCGTGTTGCCCCTCTTCCTGCTTTCGGAGCACTGCTTTTGAAGTATTCTTTCAACTGCCTGAAATGCTTTCCCTTCAAAGGAATGACTATACTGTTTTTCATTAGGTTCAGGGACCAGCAAGAGCTGCAGGAGGGAGGAAATTAGTACATTTTGGGGGGTTTCTTTCCTTGTTCATCAGTACCCACGTGCTTCTAAGTTTGAAGAGCAAGTTTGTCTTCCTGGCTCCTGCATAGATGTATTAACCACATATGTTCCATGTGACTGCTATTGCATTTTTGGCAAGAAAGACCCAAACTCACTCTCATTATTTTTAAAGATCAGAAATGTGTGATGCTCCTTTGGACAAGCATCCGTTTTAACCACCCTCCAAATGAGAGGGTCGAATTCGGTGATCTCCTGGTCTCCTTCCAGCTCACGAACGGCCCCCGAATTTCCATAATTTATGAAAATGAGTATTGGCTCACCTACCTTAGGGGAAACCAGAGTAAACATGAAGATCAGAGAAGAGGCCCAGTGAGAAACTCTGTATTCTCCGTCTGTCTGTGGGTGGTTTTGTTTTGTGGGACTCATGCCTAAGAAGTCCTATGGGAGGATGTTTACTTCTGGTGCACTTCCAGGGTAACTGGGATCTCCATTTCTTCTCTCACATCAAGAATAAAAGTACTTCTTCCAGGGAGGGAAAAGAAAGCAGACGAGCCAGGCATCCAGTTACTACAGGAGACCTCAGTTCCCTGGGGGAGCACCCATGACCTGTGGGGGTTTCCTGCTGCTCTCTCTAGAAACCTCTCTTCTCTTTGCTTCGGATGCTGTGCTGTCTTCATCTTGATTGACTTGCCTGTTCCCACCACTAGGCTGTAGCCAACTCTTCTGATTGGATTTTTGCTGAACGGCTGAATTTTCTTTTCCAGTTGGATGGACGGAAGCAAAGTGGATTATGTGGCTTGGGCCACAGGGGAACCCAATTTTGCAAATGATGATGAAAACTGTGTCACCATGTATTCAAATTCAGGTAGATAAGATCACAATCTTCTTGAATCTGCCTTGTGGTGTGACGTGTCATTTGCTACGTCCTTAGGCTAAAAGTAGCAAGTTGTGTGCTTAAATCAGACAAGAAAAGGAGAGAGAATCAAGGAGAATTCTGATTTTAGCAACATAACTGTTCAATTTGTAAGGAGAATGGATGCTTAACATTTACTCTAATTAAATGATGCAATCTGCTCACTTCTCATTTTATGAAACATGTTCTGAATGAGGAAAGTATCCAGAATGTTTATCTATCTCCTTTATCTCTATGTCTTTATCTGTAAAATGGGAATAATAACAGAATGTATCAGTTGTTGAGAAGATTGAGATAAGACATCTAAAACACTAAGCAAATGCTTTGTATATAAAGTTTATTAGATTATTATTATTAGCAATTACTGGCTATTTAGATAATAACCTGCAACATCTAGTATGTGCTTTGCTCATAGTAAACTCTCTATAAAGTTGAACTATTATTGGTTTAAGTGAAAGCGCAAAAGGGTATCACATGGATCTTTCTCTTGTGTAAAAATGATGTTTGTAGCATAAACCATTTTTGAGAATCTTTATAAAATATAAACACATTTTTAAAATTTATTTATTTTGGGGGAGGGGTAAGCTTTTTATTATCTTTTTTTCCCCTGTTGGTTATTTATTTTAAATGCAGCAGTGTATACATGTCAATACCAAACTCCCTAACTATCCCCCTCCCCCTTCCCCCCCCACCCCCCAACCATAAGTTCTTTTTTTAAGTCTTTGTGTCCGTTTCTTTTTTTTTTATAAGTTCGTTTGTATCAATTTTTTTTTAGATTCTGCATATAAGCAGTATCATATGATATTTCTCTTTCTCTGCCAGACTTATTTTACTCAGTTTGACAGTCTCTAGGTCCACCCAGGTTGCTGCAAATGGCATTATTTTATTCTTTTTCATGGCTGAGCAATATTCTATTGTATACATATACCACAACTCCTTTATCCATTCCTCTGTTGATGGACATTTAGGTTGCTTCCATGTCTTGGCTATTATAAACTAAACACATTTTAAAAAGTGTTTTTAACTCCTATATATAAAATAGATAAACCACAAGGACCTACTGTATGGCACAGAAAACTGTATTCAATATCTTGTAATAACCTATAATGGAAAAGAATTTGATATATATAACTGAGTCACTGTGCTTTACACCCAAAACTAACACAACATTGTAAACCAACTGTACTTCAATACAAAGGTGTTTTTTTTAAAAAAAAAATGTTTTTAAAAAAGTTTTTTTTAAAAAACAGTGTTTTTAAGCATGTAAACCTAATTTAACTATTCTGTTTTTTGTCAGGGTTCTGGAATGACATTAACTGTGGTTCTCCAAATGCCTTCATTTGTCAACGCCATAACAGTAGTATCAATGCCACGGCTCTCCCTACCACACCCTCGGTCCCAGGAGGTTGTAAGGAAGGTTGGAATTTTTATAATTACAAGGTACTAAGAAAACTTAGTTGTAGTCATGTCACTGACTAGTGTGGAGAGCAGCAATGCAGATCTTTCAGCTTCAAGTTAACGTTTGCTTGGCTCATCACTTTAAAAATTTTAGGCAAGAATATGTGGAAATTCCATGTTAAATTCTCTGTGGGAATTGATAGTAGACTTGACGGTATTACCCAAATAGTCATGCCGTTAGTCCCAAGAGAGAAAAAACTTTGCAAAGAAAGCTGATGGGTAATAAAACTAACAATTTTTTTTCCTTTTTTTTTTTTTTTTTTTTTTTGCGGTACGCGGGCCTCTCACTGCTGTGGCCTCTCCCGCTGAGGAGCACACGCTCCGGACACTCAGGCTCAGCGGCCGTGGCTCACGGGCCCAGCCGCTCCACGGCATGTGGGATCCTCCCGGACCAGGGCACGAACCCGTGTCCCCTGCATCGGCAGGCGGACTCCCAACCACTGCGCCACCACGGAAGCCCTAAAACTAACAATTTTTTGCATTTCTATTTAGTTGTGAGCAAATGTATATTTAGCTCTAATCTTCATGGATCATTTTGATTTCTTTAGAGCAAATACTGTTATCTTTATCTAATCCCTATGATTTTTTTCTCCTTCCATCCGAGTGTTTCAAAATCTTTGGATTTGTGGAAGAAGAAAGAAAAAATTGGCAAGAGGCACGAAAAGCTTGCATAGGATTTGGAGGAAATTTGGTGTCCATACACAATGAAAAAGAGCAAGGTGTGTGGGCCGTTTTACAGTCGGTGATGAACATAAATATGTAACTTTTTCCCCTAAAATGGTAGAATGTTGCTTATAGTAAATGAATTTTTGGTGTTCCAGAGTAAAGACTAGGAAGGGAAAACAAGCACATGTTGGGAGCTATTTTATTAGCTGTAGGCCTTATGCTGAGCGTTTTACATGTAAGTTGCTTTTCCATTTTCCTAACAAGTCTGTGAAGCAGGAATCATTAGTCCCTTGTGAATGAGGAAATGTGCTCAGGGAGCCTTAGATCAGGGAGCTTACAGGGCAAGGGGTAGGACTGGGAATCAAACTGGGTCTTCCAGCTTCAATTCCATCTGTTTCTGCCAAACCAGTTTTTTCACCAAAGAGTCAAAGAAGAAGAGTAGTTCCAGGAATAAAATTAGAAATTGCTCATTTTCCATTTACTGCTCTTCTAGTCACTTGATATAGAATTTATAATGCAATAAAACTAATTTTTCAATATGAACTTTGAACAAATTGAGAAAAAAACATTTGATAAAACGTAAGGATAAGCCAGAACTTTGAAGAACAGGATGAAGAAACACACCACTTACATACAGCAGATTGTAAAATTCATTATACTGTGGTCAAGAGAAAGGTACCTGACCCCTTTCACATGGTCTTTTTGGGGCTACCTTACTGGAAGTAGATATTAGGTTAAATTAGTTACTTTAAAAATGATGTTGACCAACTGCGGGCCTTTCAGATGACAGCAGCTAAACTGATGAAGGTTTGGAAACCACAGCCAGCAGCGAGTGAGGACGGTTTGAAAGACACTAGGTTTCACAGCCTGGAAAAGAGGATGTGAACTTTGAAGGATCGTCCCACTAAAGAAGGAAGACTTAGAACCCATGAGTGGCAGTTACAGGGAAACAAACGTAGGCTCAAAATTAGGAGGTTATTCTAACAATTAGAACGAATTGGATGGGATGCTTCGTGAGTTCTTGTAAAGGGCTGTGAAAATGCTTTTGTTGGAAGGTACTGAAATGGGTGCTGCAGAGTCACATGTGTTGACTGGTATGTAGCATGGAAGATGCCCAATGCATATTTGTTGTGTGTAGGAATTTAGGAGCTGTCGTTGGGGAAAGATGTAGACTGGATGATTTCTAAGTTCCCTTTTGGTTCAGAGGTTCTTTGACTTCTAAAATCATTTATTGGAAAAAATGATATACCTCAAAAAAGATAAGAAAGAAGAGAGACCTTGGAACGCTGTGTGGCGCTCTCCTAAGTGTTAGTTTCACTCCATAAATGCTACCATGTGCTTTCTTGGAACACATTCTTCAGTAAATCAACCAGGCTTTCACTGAGAACCTTTGACAAGTTCAGCAGCTTGCCAGACACTGAAAGAAAAGTGTCAAACCATAGCACACAATAAAAAAAATTCAGCAATATAACACTCACATTTCTCTAACTGGTCTACCACATTCTGGGCTTAGCTACCCAGCAGAGAAACACAATAATTGATTCCCTCTCTTAACCACAAAGAGCTGATTCTTGCCATAACAATATTAGAACCTGGGTCGTAGAGATGTGCAGAAGGGAACAATTTTCAGATAAACTAACATTATTCCTGGCAACACAGGCACACGCTGTTGAATTCTTTTTGTGGTTCTTGGCAGAAAACAAGTCAGTGTAGAAATATTGGCAGGTAGAGCTTTTCCACGTTTCATTTCAAGTTGGGGATAAGGCAAGAGTTATGATCTTATTTAGGAAATAAAAAAAAAACAAAGTAAATATCTACCCATGCTCTTTTCTTTCTGAAAAATATTATAAGAAATTTCTTTTCTTTTTTTTTTTTTACTTTGAGTTAATAGAGAAATAAGCAAATCTCTGAGCAGTGTCGTGGCGTCTGTTACTCTGCTGAAGAGTAAGCCTGTAGCAATGATCCTTCTGTGGAACTGTTTGTTCATGAATAAACAGATGATCTCTGTGGCCTTCTTTCTACTTTACATTTTCTATTAGTAACCCAAGTGCTTAGTCATTTGGTTTCCTATTTGCATTCAGGAGTCATGTTTAAGCAGAGTTTGGAAATTGTCCCGTAGAGTCCGTGCTCATTTACTCGGTCCCATCTAGTGTCCTTGGTATCCACAGCTCCTGGCAGGTGAGGTTGCTGGCCTCAGAAGGCGGCTGCCATGGTGTGGCAGGCATGGGGATGGGCTGCTGGAGAAGGGATGGGGAACATGTATATTTAAGCCTCTTAGAGTTTCTGGATATTTGCCACCATCCTGTCTGCCACAGAATTGATAAAGAAGCAAGAGGCCATATTTGTCCTGCTTTCTCTGAATTTCTCTCCCAGTGATGTGAGCACTTAGCACCGGGATGCCCCCTGGGTCCAAGCATGCGCAGTGGGTGTGGATGGCTGCTGACCCCTTAGGAACTGGCTGTCCTGGAGGAGTTCCATTCGGGTAGCTCTTTTGGTTTGTCAGTCCAAGGTGGTGATCATTTGACAGCCTAATGCTTTTTCGTTTTGACAAATAGTTTCTATTTTCAGAACTTTTTAAGGTTAAGAGCTCTCTTTGGCCCCTAGTTATTATTATGTTGGCCAAAAAGTTCGTTCGGGTTTTTCCATAACATCCTTCTTTTTTTTTAATCTCCATGCCTTTTTTAAAAAAAAAACATCTTTATTGCAGTATAATTGCTTTACAATGGTGTGTTAGTTTCTGCTGCATAACAAAGTAAATCAGTTATACATATACATATGTTTCCATATCTCTTCCCTCTTGCATCTCCCTCCCTCCCACCCTCCCTATCCCACCTTCTAGGTGGTCACAAAGCACCGAGCTGATCTCCCTGTGCTATGCGGCTGCTTTCCACTAGCCATCTACTTTACGTTTGGTAGTGTATATATGTCCATGCCTCTCTCTCACTTCGTCCCACCTCACCCTTCCCCCTCCCCATATCCTCAAGTCCATTCTCTGGTAGGTCTGTGTCTTTATTCCCGTCTTACCCCTGGGTTCTTCATGACCTTTTTTTTTTTCTTAGATTCCATATATATGTGTTAGCATAGTGTATTTGTTTTTCTCTTTCTGACTTACTTCACTCTGTATGACAGACTCTAGGTCCATCCACCTCACTACAAATATCTCAATTTCGTTTCTTTTTATGGCTGAGTAATATTCCATTGTATATATGTGCCACATCTTCTTTATCCATTCATCCGATGATGGGCACTTAGGTTGCTTCCATGTCCTGGCTATTGTAAATAGAGCTGCAATGAACATTTTGGTACATGACTCTTTTTGAATTATGGTTTTCTCAGGGTATATGCCCAGTAGTGGGATTGCTAGGTCGTATGGTAGTTCTATTTTTAGTTTTTTAAGGGACCTCCATACTGTTCTCCATAGTGACTGTATCCATTTACATTCCCACCAACAGTGCAAGAGGGTTCCCTTTTCTCCACACCCTCTCCAGCATTTACTGTTTCTAGATTTTTTGATGATGGCCATTCTGACCGGTGTGAGATTATATCTCATTGTAGTTTTGATTTACATTTCTCTAATGATTAGTGATGTTGAGCATTCTTTCATGTGTTTGTTGGCAGTCTGTATATCTTCTTTGGAGAAATGTCTATTTAGGTCTTCTGCCCATTTTTGGATTGGGTTGTTTGTTTTTTTGATATTGAGCTGCATGAGCTGCTTGTAAATTTTGGAGATTAATCCTTTGTCAGTTGCTTCATTTGCAAATATTTTCTCCCATTCTGAGGGTTGTCTTTTCGTCTTGTTTATGGTTTCCTTTGCTGTGCAAAAGATTTGAAGTTTCATTAGGTCCCATTTGTTTATTTTTGTTTTTATTTCCATTCTTCTAGGAGGTAGGTCAAAAAGGATCTTGCTGTGATTTATGTCATAGAGTGTCCTGCCTATGTTTTCCTCTAAGAGTTTGATAGTGTCTGGCCTTACATTTAGGTCTTTAATCCATTTTAGAAGAACCCGAGCGAACTTTTTGGTCAACCCAGTATAATCAGGTTATCTTATTTATAGAAACAGGACACGTGCTAACTAGTACAGGATGACCGTGCGTGAATTAGAAAAATGTACCTCTTCGTGCAGGACGGTAGGCAGCCATAACTCCGATCTGGGTGTACAAAATGGAGGGTGGGGCATAGGGTGGATTTCAGCCTCCCCGGCCCCAGCGCCCCAGGGTCCTTGGGTAGGGCACAACCTATACAACTATCTGCAGTGACCCAGATGAAACCTAGACTATTCTTATGAGAAACAAAGTCCAAAGTTGACGTGATAACATGCTGCTCAGGTTAGAAAGTGTTTGTTTTCATGGTAAGTGCTTTTAAATGATAATAAAGACATTGATCACATGCTCGGTATTTATAAATTATTGTATTCTGAGTATTTTTGATATTGGAGTCTTTCCCCTCAAAGTTCACAATGATCTTGTGAAACTTTCTTTCAGCATTCCTTACGTATCATATGAAAAACTCCACTTTTCACACCTGGACTGGGCTGAATGATGTCAATTCAGAGCACACGTTCCTTTGGACGGATGGCCGAGGAGTGCATTACACAAACTGGGGGAAAGGTTACCCTGGTGGGAGAAGGAGTAGTCTTTCTTATGAAGATGTAAATATCGCTTTCCGTCACCTCTCCATACACTGTCGGTTTGCTTCAGGTCGACGTATTAGTGGTTAATCTGTGAAAAATTCTGCCAGAGTACTCCTTGATCCGATTCATTCTTGCACATTTTAACTGTTTCAGACTGAGCAGGCCTTGAAGGAAGGGGTATACATTCAGTTAAGAGCTCTTCATCTTTGGGTTGGGGGTGGGAGGACATAGACGGTGATGGTAGCGAGGAATAGGGAAAGCCAGCTCCAGTATGGGCCCAGGCTGCCGTCAGCATGTACGCTTGCACCCAGAGTTAGCAATGTTCTCTGCATCAGCTACCCCTAAACTCTTGAAAGTGTTGTAGTATTTGGGGTGTAGTTCTGCAAGCTCCTACTGCTTCTGAAGTTATCATCGTCGTCGTCATCATCATGATTGAGCTACTGTTTGCAGAGTGCTAATAACTATGTGTCAAACACTCTGCTAAGTGCTAAGTGCATTAACCTAAGACACAGACGATTGCTTCTTTTTTTAAAAAATTAAAAAAATATATTTAATTATTTATTTTTTAACATCCTTATTGGAGTATAATTGCTTTACAATGGTGTGTTAGTTTCTGCTGCATAACAAAGTGAATCAGCTATATGCATACGTATATCCCCATATCCCCTCCCTCTTGCGTCTCCCTCCCACCCTCCCTATCCCACCCTCTAGGTGGTCACAAAGCACTGAGCTGATCTCCCTGTGCTATGTGGCTGCTTCCCACTAGCTATCTGTTTTACATTTGGTAGTGTATATATGTCAGTGCCATTCTCTCACTTCGTCCCAGCTTACCCTTCCCCCTCCCAGTATCCTCAAGTCCATTCTCTACGTCTGTCTTTATTCCTGTCCTGCCCCTAGGTTCTTCATGACCATTTCTTTTTTTAGATTCCATATATATGTGTTAGCATAGTGTATTTGTTTTTCTCTTTCTGACTTACTTCACTCTGTATGACAGACTCTAGGTACATCCACCTCACTACAAATAACTCAATTTCATTCCTTTTTATGGCTGAATAATACTCCATTGTGTATATGTGCCTCATCTTCTTTATCCATTCATCTGTCGATGGACACTTAGGTTGCTTCCACGTCCTGGCTGTTGTAAATAGAGCTTCAATGAACATTGTGGTACATGACAATTGCTTCTTTATTTCCCTGTTTTTAATCTTACATCATTGAAGCTGACTAATCAGTGTTAAACACCATACTAGGCATTGTGGAATCCATGAAGGCACATAAGATTTTATTCTACCTTGAAGAAGCTTACACCTAAGCTAGACCCCAAGTCTTCTGCAAGAAAGACGAGAGGAACAATATGAAAGTGTGTAATGAGATCAGCTATAAAGCATGATAGTAGTTAGGAGGAAAGAAACTTACCGTGGGATGTAGTGATCTAATCAGGCAGCACATATCTGTGGAGCTCTTCATTTGATGGAAAGAAGGCATGTGAGGAAGAATGTGGGTCTTCTTTCCAAGAAGTTTAAAACATCATGATTAGGGAATCATGGCAAGAGGCTGGGGAAGGTTGTGTTAAGTGGGAAAGGTGAATAAAGTCTTTAAGAAAAAGGCACAAGATGGGTTTGGGCGGAAGTAAAGAGCTTTAAATATAGTAGGAGTGTCATGCAGAAAAGAAGTAGGCATCAACTTTAGAACGTGGAAAGCGGAATTCAGAGAAATTTAGATGCCCTGAGAAAGAGTTTGGACTTTGTCAGATAGGCAGCAAAAAAAAAAAAAAAAGGTTTGAGCAGAAAAACAATCTCATCAAGATGGCATCTTTATGATAATTAATTTGGTAGCTCTGTGTAGGGTAGATATATTCTAGTTGTGGGTAAGTGACTTTCGGGGGAGAAATTCTTTCAATCCTTATTACATAAATGAGGGCTGAAAAGTAGACTGGAGTGAGATAGGGTTTGCTTAGAAAGATTTCCTGGATGAGTGGTAAATTTCATTTAAAAAAATTCAATGTTGCACAAGTTTTTTTGTTTTTAGAACATAATGAAAAGGAGAAACAACAGAAACAAACAAAATCTGTAAACTCACCTTCCAGGAAAAAAACAACAACACTGTTTTGTTGGTTTTATTCCTAGATTTTTTTCTTAGTGTGTGTAAAAATATAAAGTTTGTAGTCCACAAAACTGGAATCAAAACACATATATTGTGTTGTTACAATTTCAGGACTTATAAAATGAAGAGGATTAAATATAGTTTGATAAAGAGAGTGGGAGAGAAATGTTCACGTGCATTGTGTAGTGGAAACATCCTTGTTCTGTGTAGGTTTCCTGGTTTAGAGCAGAGATGCTGAGCCAGGATAATGAAAGATAAGAATAGCTAAGAAGGGGGATGGGAATGAGCAGAGGATCTTTGAAATGTACGGTTAGGGGTTCCTGATAGTTGAGGCTCATGGGATAATGAGGCTGGAGGCTGAGAAGATGTCTCTGGCCCTGGTGAAAGCTGTGGTAGCTTTCAGGGAATTAATGAGATTTCTGACAGCAGCGTTTCTCAGAACCAGCTCCAAAGTTTATCCAACTCTGCTTAATTTTCAATTAAAATAGCAAGGGTTCAGTGAGGGATCTGCGTGAAAATTGGCCAGTAGCATGGAAAGTAGGGATGAATTAAACGTGCTGTAGATGAATTAGGACTATCCTTAAAGTTGGAGTTTAGGGATAAAGGATTTTTTTTTTTTTTTGCTTATTAATGAATTGGTTTAAATAATTATCCATCCACATTTGGCTTTTTTTTTTCTTCTCCATGAATATACAGGCTGACTGTGTTCTTATTATCGGAGGGAAGTCAAGGGACGCAGGAAAATGGATGGATGACACCTGTGACAGTAAGCGAGGTTATATATGCCGAACACCTCCCGGTAAGTCCTACTGGACCACGCTGGGCTGGAAGAGGTGGGGTTTTTCCATACTTTTTAAAAAGTGACATTCTTCTCAATTTTGCTGTGCGCCTTAAACTGCTCTAAAAAAATTAAGTTTTGTTTTAAAAAAGTGACCCTTCCCTTGCACATCAACATGTTGTTTTTTAAAAATTTTTTTAATTAAATAATTAAAAATTTTTTTTTGGCCGTGCCGTGTGGCATGTGGAATATTAGTTCCCCGACAAAGGATCAAACCTGCGCCCCCTGCAGTGGAAGCACGGAGCCTTAATCACTGGACCGCCAGGGAAGTCCCCATCAACATGTTTATTTGATTCTCACTTTCATCCATGGATGGCTGTGACAGACAAAAAGGATATTTTCCGTAATTTATTCATGAATGTGCCCCCTCATCCATTACCAGAAAGTTTGCACAGGTTAAACTAGAGGTTGAAACTTTTTCTAATCCTGTTAGAAATTTGGGATGCTTGCTTACCTCTACCTTAAAAGTAAAAAATGTCAGAGCAGGGATACCTCACTTCAATTTGTGTAATTTGAGAACCGTTGCCCCCAAACACCCTATATGCCTCATTACTTGTTATATATTCTGTGTCTCTAAAAATGTAGATGTTTTATTTGTGGTCCTTTTTTCATCTTAGGAAGCCTAACTATGGTGCAAAGAAAATAAAACAGATATGTGGATATCGACCAAGAATCAAGATTATGGTCGTGTGCATTTTAGTTTTGAGTGAAATTAGAATAGAAACATTTGGCTACATAAGAAGAGGTTCAGAAAATAAAAGATTAGAGATGAGGGTTGAAGTTGAGGTGGGTTGCTGTCACCCTGAGCAGAGCTCTCAGAGGAGCTTGAATTAGAAGCTGCTTGATCTCCCGGATCTAACAAATTTTTCTATACTTTCTGGGGAATCAGGGAACTGATATCAATTTCTGACAACGACTGAAAATCACTGAAGATATTTTCAGGTGATTGCAAAGTCCTGCAGGAATTCTAACCTCCTATTGATCCAAAAGAAGGTCCAGGCCATGCCACTTTTCTCTCTCTGCTACACCCTTCGAGCACCAGAATCTTAGGCCACTGGTAATGCATCTGTGCTTCCACACTTTGGGGAAAGAGGGGAGTCCTCTTCCAGGAGGGAATGATGGTTCCTAAACTTGTTTAAAATCTTCTTTTTCTTCTTCCTGTAAACACAAGGGATAGAATATTTGCTGCCAACAAAAGATATTTTGACAATTTTTAATGACTTAGGTTTCAGGAAAGGTCGACAGTGTTAACGTGAAAAAGGCAGAATATGAAATTTTGTAGACTACTGATGATGCAAAAAACACTTTGAACCCCCTTAAAGAAAAAGAACAAGAAGGCGATGGAAATGCATCAAAATAGGAATAGTGGATGTGTTTGCATCGTGGGATTAAGACCTTTCGTTCCTTCACTGTACTACTGTATTTTTCTTCGTTTATCAAAAACTGTCTCTTTCTAACGCTCTCTCTCTATGTATATATATTTGCATTTATATTATATATAATATGTCTATACATCTATATCTCTCTCTATATATATAACAATTATGAGGAAACACTAAAATATTGATGTGGTTAGATTCTAAGTAATTTTTTTCTCATTTTTATGCTTTTCTATATTTTCTAAAATTTCAATAAAGAATGTGTGTTCAGTATTTTTTTAAAACAGTGTTGTTTTCAGGAAGTCCCTGGTGGTCCAGTGTTTAGGACTCAGGACTTTCACTGCTGGGGCCTGGGTTTGATCCCTGGTTGGGGAATTAAGATCCCGCAATCTGTGCAGCGTGGCCAAAAGAATAAAATTAAATAAATAAAAAGTAAAACAGTGTTGCTTTTATTCATATATATGAGTATGTATGAATGAATATATATGAATTCATGTAAATATATAAAGATACCTAAATAAAAACGTGAATGAATACATATGGATATAAAACACTTAAGAACAATCCCTTGATGAAATTTTAGAAAATACAGAAAAGCATAAAGAGAAAAAATTACCCATAATCTAACCACCTGAAAGTAACCTCTCAGTGATTTAGTTTTTTCCTTATAATTTTTTCTATGAGTGTTTTAATAAACAAGCGAATTGGATAAATGAGCTAATTTCCTGGCTGCGTATAGCCTTTGGCGAAGCTTCTTAAAGCTTTCTCTCAAGCTTCATTGGGCACTTATAGCAGTCCAAAACTCTTCCCATGTTGTTAAGACAAACCCAGCTCTCTCCAAGCTGGGAAACGATGAGACTGTTTACTTCCTACTGGCTGTAACATGTAAGGATCCGGGGCTGGATCTCTTGGTTTAATGCTATTCTATCAACACACGGTGGCAGCAACAGCAGAAGAAAGGGGAGGCTGCCCTCCTTGCTGAATTAAAATTGTTGCCTTACCAGATTCTTCAAAAGAAAGTTTGGCATTCTTGGAGTGACAGAACAGGGCACATGGTGGGTTGGGTTGGTATGCAGTGGAACAGGTTGGAGAATTGACCAAGACAACATCAGTAGGCAGGGACATCTAGAACCCTAGACTAGGGGTTGGCAACCTTTTTCTGTAAGAGACAGATTATAAATATTGCAGGCTTTGTAGACCATGAAGTTTTTGTTGCAATGACTCAACTCTGCTGTGATCGCAGACAATCACAGACAGTATGTAAACAAATGAGCGTGGCCGAGTTCCACTGAAACTTTATTTATGGACACAAATTGGAATTTCATGTATTGTTTACATGTCACAAAATATTTTTCATTGTTTTTTTTCCCCCAACCATTTAAAAACTCATGGGCTGCAAAAACAGACAACAGGCCAGATTTCACCCTCTGGCTGTCATCCGCTGACCTCTGTTGCCCTAAGGCATCAGCTAAGGCGCCCAGAAACAAGATTTTTTGGGGTCTTGACAGTAAGTGGCCCAAAGTATGGGTGGGTCTAGAGTCGTTATTAGAAACTCATGCTGAGAGATTGAGGAGGAAAGATCAGAAAGCCAGAGTGACGCCAGCTTGCAAAGGCTTCAGTTTGGATAAGATATGGGGCTCACATGGGAAATCATCATAAGATTAAAGCTTGATCCTGAGATCAAGGTTAAATGAAGTGGAAACTGTTATATGGCTTCATTCCAGACCATAAACCAATTTCTTGAAGGTACAGGATTCACAGGTGAAGTCAAATAGATACAAATAGATGCAAATTCATGGGTGGAATGGAACAGAGTCGGGTGGGGGAAGGGAAGGAGAGGAAGACTGTTCTTGACCTTAAGATTTGACCAAGATGGAAAAAAAAAAAAAGATTCGTGTTGACAGGATGATAGATGTTCTTTAATTTATGAGATTAAACTGTGGCGTGTCTTTCATCCAGATACTAGATCTCATAGTATTTGCAAGTCTTTTTGGTTTTAGAGTTTAGAAACTTGATCGTGTATTTACCTTAATATTCTAAATAGCATTTGGAAATGACTTAATTCAGTCAGGCATACTGGTTAAAAAATAGAACTTTGTGTTCTGGTGTGAAATGGCTCATGAAAATATGTTTAACCCCTGACAGTTTGAATGGTGCTGTTCAGATTCTTTTTAGGATGTGTGAGGTACAGAAGTCATGTACAGATGGCGCTCAGGTAATGTTTAATATTAATGGAAATAATTTTTTATTCCAGACCCTTCCTTGCCTAGTTCTCCAACAACAATTCCAACAGATGGCTTTATTAAATATGGCGAAAGTAGCTACTCACTCATGAAATTAAAGCTGCAGTGGCATGAAGCAGATGACTATTGCAAGCTTCACACTTCCCTGATCGCTAGCATTCTAGATCCCTATAGTAATGCGTTTGCGTGGATGCAGATGCAGATGCTGAATGAACCTGTGTGGATCGCCCTGAACAGTAACTTGGTGAGATGCTGGAAACACGTGCGACTTGACATGATTGATAAATTGTGATTGAATATGATTCTCTTCTGTTCATTCTGTTGAATACTTGTTGTGTGTAAAAGCCTGCTGGGCTTTAGAAATGATACTGACATGTACAAGACCCAATCTCTCTAGGACCCAGTGCAAGGATCTAGCAAGTTCGTGATGTTATGTCAGAAATCAAACTAAGACTTACCTAACTGATAAGTATTATTTTTACTTTCCTTAGGTTTTTTATATACAGTGTTACTGTATATTTTGAGTATGAAAATTAAGTTCTGCATCTAAACAGTTTTATTTATTAACTTATTTCTTTCTAGTGTCATGATTACAACTATGCCATAGGGATTAAGAAAGGAATTAAGAAAGCGTCAGGGGCATAGTTCCTGGGCGATGAGGATATTCCTTATTTTTTGTGGAAAGTCATTCTAGAGTTGCTATCTGTTCTGAAGCTGGGCCGCTTCCATCCGTGTGTGACAGATTTCATTGCGGTCAATTCCCTGTATTCCATAACAGAGAAGGAAGGTTGGCAGAAGATGGTGTAGAGTGAGGGTTGAGACACAGAACTAAGAGTGGTGTGGGAGTTGCCAAAATTTTCCTGAAATGAGTCTTCTCTGATGCCAGGGGATCCATCTATCCTCCATCCATCCATCCATCCATCTAACTAGTCAATCAGCAAACTTCCTAGTACAATAAATAGAGATGTCAACAAGTAATCAAGAGATAATACAGTGTCAAAGAGAGGTATATACAAAGTGCTGGGAGAGGAGAGAAAAGCGATCATTTGTGCAAGGGGAGAGGACCAACAGGGCTTCTCTGAGAAAGTCAAACTTTACAGATGTGGTCTAGGATGGTGGCTCATAAGGAAGCAGTACCAAGAAGAAATAAAAGGAGGTAAGGGGGTAGAGCTGGAAAGCAGACTGGTGCCAGACTTTGTAGAACTTCTTCCACCATGATGCAGAGCTCAACATTTACACTTCTTGCAATGCGTATTTCCCGAGTAGGTTAGTAAACATTTAAAAGTAAGTAGTTACACAATGATTTCTGTGTTTAAACTTAAGCACGGCATCTTTACTTCTATGTTGAATCTATTTTTAGTAACTAATTCTCTTGATAATTCATATATTTTCTTCTCACAAATATGGTCCCAATTCTCTTACGAGTTTAAAATAGGCTTTTATTTATTGTTAGAAAGATTAAATAGCTTTCCATTATCCCAACATTTATAGCTAAAACAATACTGTTCTATTTATTACATCTATGGAGTTAATGATTATGCCAGCATTATTTGATTAAATATGGTAGAATACTACAAAATTCTAACTCGAGATAATGCATGCTTTTGATTTTGTCATTAAATCTTTGGTAATTGCTTTGGTAAATTAAATAATGCAGTTAAAAAGGGGACAGCTGTTTGAATGGTTTAAAAATTCACTTATCTCTGATTAAAGTTATACAGCATCTGTTGTGAGGTTTTACCTGTAAAATGTCAAAAGAACATTATTGATAAGTAGTCTTTTTGATGTTGTCAGTTAATTTGTATGTGACCATAAATTTGCCCCAATAAATTTAATAAGAAGTATGCAAATTGAATAAAACAATTATCTTTAAAAGATGCCATCAGATTCAGTTGGTTGAAAGACCACCTAACTGGAAGGTAAGAGACCTAGGCTCCTCTCTTATCCAGCCATGTCACCTTGCATAAGTCATTTGTTGTTGGCCCTGTTTCAACAGCCAAACAGTAAGAAGATTAGAAAAGTGTTTCTCTCGGGTCCATGAGTGCAAGGAAAATGACTTCGTTTTTATTATCATTTCAGTGATAATATAATACGTGTTTTATTTGTTCCAAAGGTAAAACCCCTCTTTTGCACTGAGGGCCTGCAAATAAAGAGAGTTTTCTAGAATAAGACATAGGATTTTAAGTCTGTGTTTTTCAGAATAGCTTCCAACGATGTCTTCATGGGGAGCTTTAAGAAGTCATTTTTTCTTAAAAAAGGCTGAATTTGATTTGGTAGAAAAAATTTATAATGTTCTTTTAATTCCCAAATGTTGAAGATTCTTTGTCAAATCACAGTCTTAAATATACTTTTTACTCCTTGCTGGGTTCTTTTGGTATTTTCTAAACGAAGCCAGGCTCCATGTTAATAGTTGTTCTTGTTCTTGCAGACCAATAATGAGTATGTTTGGACCGATAAATGGAGGGTGAGATACACTAATTGGGCCAGTGATGAGCCCAGACTGAAGTCAGCGTGTGTTTATATGGATCTTGACGGCTATTGGAAGACAGCACGTTGCAATGAAAGTTTTTATTTTCTCTGCAAAAGATCAGACGGTAATTGAATCCACGAAAACAATCAAGGGATTTGAAATTTTCTCAATAAGCTAATACAAACCACCGTTGATATTCTTAAACAGTCACATGTTTTGGGGTGGCTTAAGGATAATATAAAACATATTCCTTCACCTAACCAAAGACTGACCTGGCAATAAACAAATATAGAGAGATCAAAATAACAGAGAGAGAAATTTTTCTTCGTTGCTAGAATTTATTTCCTCTTTATACATTTCTGAATTTTTATTATTGGGACAGGCCTCTGAATCTATGATGTCAGAGTCCTCAGGAAATGATGATTACTTTTGATGTTGACGGCACAGCTATATCAAAATAATTTTATCAGAATATGTTTAGGTTCATCAGAGTCAGTGATAATACAGTGATACAGTCCTAGAATACAGTTATAGAGTCGGACAGTGGTAAAGTCCTAGAATTCTACCTATACCATTTAGTTATAACATCAATGTCAGCCATAGCTAAGAAGGTTTTATAAGGGCTAGGATCCTAGAAAAAGAAAACTGTCTAGAAGGAAGACTGCCTTTGCAAATTATTTATGGTTGACCTTTTAGGGGAACTTATTAATGTCTTTGTAGGTTATCTATAGATCCTCATGCTTAATTATGAATGTGATTGACCACCGTTATACCATAGTACCTTCTATGGAAATACATTTTGTATGAAAACAAAATGATAAAGTAAAAAGAATACTCAATAATAGAAATGGCATATCCAAATGATTACCATTAGAGCTTAAAAAAAATAATGATAGGCGATGAAAATTTCCTTAATGGCTGATATATTATTCTATGTACTAAAGAAACTTCAGGTCTTACTTTATTTGAAATGTCTTTTTATTAACAGAAATCCCTGCCACTGAACCTCCACAGCTGCCTGGTAGATGCCCCGAGTCAGAGCACACAGCGTGGATTCCTTTCCATGGTCACTGCTACTATATCGAGTCTTCATATACAAGGAACTGGGGCCAAGCTTCTCTGGAATGTCTTCGAATGGGTAAGTACCACATTTACCGTCAGAAAATCCCACAATCATCTATGTAGAGTACCAGGATGCTAGTAACACTGTATATTAAAAACCTAAGGAAAGTAAAATTACTTGTTTCTTTGTCTTAATAATTTATATTGTAACAGAAAGGTCGACATCATGCCCCCCAAATATAATTTCTAACGTAGCCTCAAAAGGTGAAAGAATTCTGCCAGAAAGCAGTGACTCGCTGAACAAGTCTTGCTGCCCTAATATTCTAAATTGTTAGGATTATTATTCAGAGTGTCGCGTTCATCTTTTATCACTGATCGGCTCAGGCTTCACAAGTGCCCAGGAACCATTTTGCTTTCCCATGAATAGAAAAGCATTTAGATCTGATTATCTTTGTGAATAAATACGAAACAAAACTCAAGTGACATGACATAGATGAACAATTTCCCTCCTGAAATAAAAATGTCAAATAAAGTGAACTTTTCAGGGTGCATTAAAAAATTTACTTAATTAAATCCCACCGAATACTTGACTGAATTACTTTGTGGCTAAATTTTGATTATGTCCTAAGTCAGGGCTCTTCATTCAGCAGTGGCGAGCAAGGGTTACATGCTCATTTCCTTCAGATTCACTCAAAAGTCAGTCTGGAGTTTTCACTTCTTTTTACTTTTATGTTTAGTTTTTTTCTTCAGTTTTATTGAGGTATAGTTGACATAAAGTTGTAATACATTTAAAGTGTAAGAGATGATGATTTGATACACATATTTGTTGGGAAAGGATTCCTAACCGTCAAGTTAACATGACCATCACGTCACATATTTACCTTTGTGTGTGTGTGTGTGTGTGGTGGGAACACTTAAGTTCTAATCTCTTAGCAAATTTCAGTGATACCATGCAGTATTATCAACTGTAGTCACTATATTATACATTAGATCCTAAGACCTTATTTATCATATAACTGAAAGTTTGTACCCTTTTACCAGCATCTCTCTATGTCTCCCACCCCCCAACCCCCTGACAACCACCATTCTACCCTCTGTTTCTGTGAGTTTGACTTTTAAATTCCACCTATAAGTAATATCATGTAGTACTTGTCTGTCTCTATCTGGCTTATTTCCTTAGAATAATGCCCTCCAGGTTAATCAATGCTGTTGCAAACGGCAGAATTTCCCTCTTTTTAAAGGCTGAATAATATTCCATTGTATATACATACTACATTTTCTTCATCATTCATCTGTTGATGGACACTTAGGTTGTTTCCATGTCTTGGCTATAATAAATAATGCTGCAATGAACATGGAGTGCAGCTATCTTTTCGAGATAGTGGTTTCATTTCCTTTGGATATATACCAAGAAGTGGGATTGCTGGATCATACGGTAGTCCTATTTTTAATTTTTTGAGGAACCTCCACACTGTTTTCCAAAAGGACTGTACCAATTTACATTCACACTAGCAGGGTTCCCTTTTCTCTTCATCCTCTGCATCATTTGTTATCTCTTATCTTTTTAATAATAGCTAGCCTAAACAAGTGTGAGGTGATATCTCATTGCGGTTTTGATTTGCATTTCCCTGATGATTAGTGATGTTGAGCACCTTTTCCTGTACTTCTCAGCCATTTGTAAGTCTCCTTTGGAAAAAAAAATCTGTTCAGGTCCTTTGCTCGTTTTTTGAATTGGGTTATTTTTTTGCTATTGAGTTGTATAAGTTCCTTGTATATTTTAGATATTAAACCTCTATTAAGACATGTGGTTTGCAGAAAATTTCTCCCATTCAGGAGGTTGCATTTTCATTTTGCTGATGGTTTCCTTTGCTATGCAGAACCTTTTTAGGTTGATGTAGTCCCATTTGTTTATTTTTGCTTTTTTTCCCTTTGCTGTTAGTGTCAAATACAAAAAGATTAATGTCAAGGAGTTTATTGCCTGTGTTTTCTTTTAGGATTTTTATGATTTCAGGTTTTACATTCAAGTCTTTAATCATTTTGAGTTGATTTTTCTGTATAGTGTTAGAGAGTGGACCAGTTGTATTCTATTGAATGTGGGTGTCTAGTTTTCTCAACACCATTTGCATGGAATAATTTTTTTTAATCCCTTCATTTTAAGCTTATGTATGTCCTAAAGTTGGAATGAGTTTCTTGTAGCATATAGTTGTCTTGTGTTTTTTTGTTTTTTGTTTTTTTAATCTATTAAGCCACTCTATGTTTTTCCATTGGAAAATTTAGTCCATTTATATTTATAGTAATTATTGGTAGGTATGCACTTAATATTGCCATTTTGTTAATTGTTTTCTATCTGTCCTGACCTTCTTTTGTTCCTTTCTTCCTCTCTGCTCACTTCCTTTGTGATTTGATGATTTCTCAGTAGTATTACTTAGATTCTTTTCCTTTTATTTTGTGTATCTACTATAGGTTTTATTGTGTGGTTGTTGTGAAGATTACATGAAACATCTTAGAGTTATAACAGTGTATTTAAAGCTGATAACAACTTAACTTTGAATGTATGCAAACAGTCTGTATTTTTACATTCCCCCGACATTTTATATTGTTGATGTTACAATTTACATCTTTTTATATTGTGTATACATTAACAAATTATTGTATTTATAGTTATTATTTTTTTTAAGATGTTGGGGGTAGAAGTTTATTAATTAATTAATTAATTTTTGCTGTGTTGGGTCTTTGTTTCTGCGCGAGGGCTTTCTCTAGTTGTGGCGAGTGGGGGCCACTCTTCATCGCGGTGCGTGGGCCTCTCACTATCGCGGCCTCTCTTGTTGCAGAGCACAGGCTCCAGACACGCAGGCTCAGTAGTTGTGGCTCACGGGCCTAGTTGCTCCGCGGCATGTGGGATCCTCTCAGACCGGGGCTCGAACCTGTGTCCCCTGCATTAGCAGGCAGATTCTCAACCACTGCACCACCAGGGAAGCCCTATAGTTATTTTTAATACTTTTGTCTTTTAACCTTTATACAACAGTTATAGGTGATTTACTTACCACCATTATAGTATCAGAATATTCTGGATTTTCCTATACATTTACCTTTACCGTTGAGTTTTATATTTTCAAACATTTTCATATTACTAATTAGTGTCCTTTCATTTTAGCTTGAAGAATTCCCCTTGACATTTCTTATAAGTCTGGTCTATTGGTGATGAACTCTTTCAGCTTTCGTTTGTCTTGAAAACTCTTTATCTCTCATTTAATTCTGAATGACAGCTTTTCTAGGTAGAGTATTCTTGGCTGGAAGCTTTTATCTCTAAGCACTTTAAATATATCTTCTCACTCCCTTCCAGCCTGCAAAGTTTCTCCTGAAAAATTTGTTTTGTCTTACAAGGGTTCCCTTTTATGTAACAAGTTGCTTTTCTTTTGCTGTTTTTAAGAATCTCTCTTTGTCTTTAATTTTTGACAATTTAATATAATGTGTCTCAGTGTTTGTCTCTTTATATTCATTATATTTGGTACTCCTTATGTATGCTTCCTGGATCTAGATGTCTGTTTCTTTCCCCAAGGTTAGGGAAATTATCAGCCATTAGTTCTTTGAATAAGCTTTCTGCCCCCATCTCTCTCTTCTCCTTGAGTTCCTGTAATGTGTAGATTGATCCTCTTGCTGTTGTCTTGTAAGTCCTTTAAGCTAGCTTGACTCTTTTTGATTCTTTTTTTCTTTTTGCTTCAGGATATATTTGACTGCCCTTTCTTTGAGTTTACTGTTTCTTTCTTCCAGTTTTCTAGTCTGCTGTTGAACACCTCTACTGAACTTTTCATTTAAGTTACTGTGTTCTTCAGCTTTGTGATTTCTCTTTGGTACTTTTTAATATTTTCTCTCTCTGTTGAAATTCTTACTTTGCTCATGCATTACTTTCCTGACCTCACTGAGTATCTTTGTAGCTGTTATTCTGAACTCTCTATTGGGTAAATTACTTGTCTCTGTTTTATTAATATCAGTTTGGAGATGTATCTTGTTCTTTGGCTTGGAAGACATTTTGCTTTATTTTCCTTGACTCTCTGTGTTGGTTTCTGCACATTAGATAAAAGAGGCACCTCTCCCAGTCTTGAGTGGTCTTGTGTGGGAGATGAACCTCATCAGTCAATCCAGCCCAAGTTCCTGTTTGTCACTCAAAACTTTGTGGTTATACCAGCTGTTGTCTTTGTTTTTAGTGGCTCCCAGTGGTTGAGGGTGTGCCAAAACCTGATGATATCCCAAAGGAGAGGATCACAGTTAGCACATAAAAGCAGACTGATTAGAAACTGGACCCTCGGGCACCTGGGAAAGTAGATAAGCCAGGTGTGTGTCTAAGCTCCTTCCAGAGACCTGTTGGTGACCTGATTTTATCATTGCAGCAAGTCGGAGAAAGAAGGTGGCAGAAGGGCCCACCAGCTCCCCCAGGAGGATCACAGCTAGCCCCTTGCTGCATGCAAATTAGCAGCTGGACCCCCCAGGCAGCAGGCTGTAAAGTATGCAGTCAGTCCCCTTCTAGGGAAAGACTGAGGGACGGGCATTTTTATCTGTTCCCTCTTAGCTGAGCCCTGGGAGAATAGCCATGGCAGGTGTTCGGTGCCCATTAACAACGGCTGCTTCATTTTCTGTGGTCCTATGGGTCTCGTGGCTGCAAACCCCATTAGCTTCCAGAGTTAGGCATTTGGGGGGCCTATTCCTTCAAATAGAGGAACAGGAGCCTAAAAATTTGGGGTGCTAGATGTATGGTTGAAACCCTTCTCTATTCAGGGAGAAGCTGGCAATTAGGGGCTCCCTCCTGATTATACGGCACTGTGCCATGGGTGGGGTTTATGAAGAGAGTGTGTCTCAGCCTTTCCTACTCATTTAGATGTTTGTGTTTTCTCAGTTGCCCTATATGTAGGAGTCACTGAGTTTCTGGATTTTACTGATAGAATTGCTCTATGTGTAGGTGTTTGCTGGTGTGTATGTGGGAGAAGGGAATTTCAGGAGACTTATATGTTGCCACAGGGAGTTTAAAAACTCCCTATGAGTTTTTCCTTTAAATTCTGAGTCAGGAGAAGTCTACTTTGTCAGTTTTTGCTTCATGTATTTTGAGGCCTATTGTTCGGTGCATATATGTCTATATTTGTCATATCTTCTTGATGAATTAAAACTTTAATCATTATAAAACATCCTTATTTGTCTCTAGTAACAATTTTTGTCTAAAATCTTTTGTCTAGTATCAGTATAGCCACTCCAGCTCTTCTTTATTTACTATTTGCATGGAATATCTTTTTCCATGCTTTTACTTTTAACATGTTTATGTTTTTGAATCTCAAATGTGTGTTTTGTAGATAAAATATAGTTGTATTATTTTAAAATTTATTTTTATTTTTTATTCATTTTGCCAATCTCTGTCTTTTGATTGGAGTACTTAATCCATTTACATTTAATGTAATTACTGATAAGGTAGGATTAAATCTGCCCTTTAATTTATTTTATATTTGTCTTATGTATTTTGGTTCCTCTATTTATCCATTTCTACCCTCTTTAACATTAAATAGATAATCTCTAGTGTACCATTTTAATTTCCTTGTTATATTTTTTACTATGTGTTGTTTAGTTATTTTCTTAGTGGTTGCCCTGGGGATGATAAATAACATCTTAATATGCAACAATCTAGTTCAAATCAATATAAATTTAATTTCAATAGAGTACAAAATTTTGCTCTTATATAGCCCCTTTCCCTCTACAGTCCTTTGTGTTATTATTATCATATAAATACATCTTTATACACTGTATGCCCATCAGCACAGATTTATAATTATTGTTTTATGCAGTTGTCCTTAAATCATATAAGATTAAACAAAAGTATAAACAAAAAATAAATTCGTACTGTCTTTTGTTTTTACCTATGTAGTTTCCTTTACTGGTGGTCTTTATTTCTTCATGTGGATTTAAGTTGTTGTCAACTATCTTTTTATTTTGGCCTGAAGGATTTTCTTTAGTATTTCTTGTAGAGTAGATCTGCTAGTGACAAATTCTCTCCATTTTTGTTTATCTAAGAATGTCTTTAAAGAAGATGTGGCACATATATACAATGGAATATTACTCAGCCATAAAAAGGAAAGAAATTGAGTTATTTGTAGTGAGTTGGATGGACCTAGAATCTGTCCTACAGAGTGAAGTAAGTCAGAAAGAGAAAAACAAATACCGTATGCTAACACATATATATGGAATTTTAAAAAGCAGTGCTGATAAACCTAGTGGCAGGGCAGGAATAAAGATGCAGATGTAGAGAACGGACTTGAGGGAATGGGGAGGAGGGGAAGCAGGAATGAAGTGAGAGAGTAGCATGGACATATATACACTACCAAATATAAAATGGAAGGCTAGTGGGAAGCTGCCGCATAGCACAGGATGATCAGCTCGGTGCTTTGTGACGACCTAGAGGAATGGGATAGGGAGGGTGGGAGGGAGGCTCAAGAGAGAGGGGATATGGGGATATATGTATACATATGGCTGATTCACTTTGTTGTACAGCAGAAACGAACACAACATTGTAAAGCATTTATACCCCAATAAAGATGTTAAAAATAAAAAAGAATGTCAACTTTTCCTTTATTTTTGAAGGACAGTTTTGCTGGACAGAAAATTGTTGGTCAACAGTCATTTTCTTTCAGCCTTTTGAATATTTTATCCTACTGCCTCTGGTCTCTGGGGTTTCTGATGAGAAAGCAGTGTTACTTATATCGAGAATCTCTTGGACATGATGAATCACTTCTCTCTTATTACTTTTGAGATTCTCTATCTTTGATTTGATTATGATGTGGAGCTTCTCGAGATTATCTTACTTGGATGTTGTTGAGCTTCCCGCATGTTTACATTAATGTTTTTCATCAACATTGGGAAGCTATTGGCCATTATTTCTTCAAGTATTCTTTCTGCCTCTTTATCTCATTCCTCTCCTAGGACTACCATTATGTGTATCTTGATTTGACTGGTGATGTTCCAAATATCTTTGAGACTCTGTAAATTTTTCTTCTTTTTTTCCCTCATTATTCAGACTGGATAATCTGAAGTTTGTTGATTATTTCTTTTGCTTAGTCAAACTCACTGTTAGGCCTCTCCAGTGAAGTTTTCCTTTCAATTATTATACTTTTTAACTCCAGAATTTTATTTCTTAAAAAACAATTTCTACCTTTTTATTAATAGTCTCTATTTGGTGAGCAATTGTCTCATACTTTCTTTTAGTTCTTTAGACATTTTTTCCTCTAGTTCTTTAAACATCTTTAAAATAGCTGATTTAAAAAGTCTTTGTCCAGTAAGTCAGAGGTGTGGCTGTTTCAGGAACAGTTTGTATTGACTGCTTCTTTTGCTGGTATGGGTCATATTTCCGTGTTTCTTTACATTTCTTATAATTTTTTGTTGAAAAATGACTATTTAACTCTGGAAATAAGTTTATTTCCACTCCACAAGGTTTTTTGTTGCTGTTTGTTGTTATTTGCTTGTTCAGTAACTTTCCCTCATGAATTCTGTAAAGTTTTGTATTCTTTTTCAAGTGCGGTTACTGAAGTCTCTTGCCTACTTAGTTTAGTGGTCAGCTAATGATTGGGAACGTATTTCCTTAGTGCCTAGAACCAGAAGGTTCCCCAGGTTTTACTGAAGGGCTCGGTCTGAAGACATGCCTTCAACACTCATATAGGCAGTTAAAAACTCTGCCTTAGCCTTCACTTCCTGCTTGTGCAGACCCTCAGGGTCAGCCAGAGGTGAGAGCGTAGGGACTTTTCAGATCTTTCACGGGCATGCACATAGTCCTGGGCGTGTACACACCCCAATGTGTGTCTGTGGCCTTCTAGGCTCCCAGGAATAGGTCAATGCTTCTTAAAGCTCCCTATGGACATTTTACTCCATAGTTTTTCCTTTTAGTTTTTTGGTTACCTTGTTGTTAACCTAAAATTGTTTCCCACACTGCTTCAGGCAGCTGTGATATTAGGTACTTGCCACTGTTAGTTTTTGACAAATACCCCCAAGGAAAAGGCTGTTTACATTGGATGAGCTCTGAGTCAGGTCAAATCAAGGCAAGTGAGGTTTTCCAGGGAAATGTCAGAGAGATCAAATAATGGAAATTCTTTGAGAATGTGACTTATAAAGAACCCCAATCCCATTCTGACTTTCCCAGTGTCTTCCTGGCTTCTGGTTTTCACTGTGATTTTGAGGCCGTTGGTTTTTAACGCAGTCACAGAGCTAGGGATAAAGCTATGGGATTAGGACAAGTTAAAACACCATGTAGCTTATTTTCTTACTGCGAGTCAAGCGTTTTCTTGAATAAATGCTTCCTGGATTGTTACAAGCTGCTGGTTAACTTTCAGGGTTCTGAAAAAGTTGATTTTGAAAAATTTGTTAGTGTTCTTATTGCTTTTGTAGAGGAGAGGAATTTCAGGGGTACTTACTCTGCCAGTCCTTATGATGTCACTTGAAACCTGCTTTCTCTTAATTAAAAAAATGTTTTTCTTTCATGTTGCTGAATATTTTTTTTAAAAAATCTTGCAGTGAATGTGTAGAAACTTCGTTTTCAACTTTAGATAACTATATTTTCCTATTAATGAATGATTCACATTCATCAAAATATGTCACAAATATATTGAAATGGCTATTGTCTGTGAAATATGTTTAATAATGGATTATGAAATTATGCAATGAAAACAGTCATCAAGAGAATAATCCAGGACCCAGTAACGTGGGGTGCAAGCATATGGTTAAGTATAGGTCCTCAAGGTCCAGATGCCTGGATCATGCCATGACTTTGCCCTCCTCTATCATTAGGATCTTGGTAAATTACTTACCCTCTGGACTTTAGGTTCCTTATCTGTAAAATGGAGTAACAGTAGTACTAATTTAATAAGATTGTTGTAAAATTTTAGTGACATCGTGCTTATAAAGCCCAAAGCAAAATGTCTGGCATAAACTGCTTAAATTATATTTTAAGTTGTTATTATTTAAAATTCTGTAATTTAACTATAAAATACAGTGCTGGCTCTGAATCAATCTTTGACTGGGTTGTCAATGCCATAGTCATCTAAGCAGTCTTTCTGTTTCCTCTCTCCTTTTTGTGCAGCTGGATTAATACTCCCAGAGTGCATTGCATCATTCTGCTGCCTGAAAAAAAACTGTTTTTTAATCACCACATTACCCTAAATACCAGTCTCCTACCATCTGCAGTGAGACCTAACCCAAGTCTTTTTTCACCCATTGACCAGATTCATCCAGCCAAACTGAACTATCTATTAACACTATTCATTTACCCCAATAATTGCCTTATCTATCTATCTACCTACCTACCTACCTATCTATTTCAAATCCTGTTACTAAAAACCAAATATGGAGAATTCCATGCATCTGTGAGCTATCTCTGTTCATGAAGAAGCTCTATGCTTCCCTTTCTCTTCATCTTTTCTCTTATTCTTCCTCTTCCTGGAATTATTTTCTATCCTTTCTACTTGAAATATTATGCTCCCTAGTATCTTAAATTCTGTCTCCTCCATGCTCCCTTTTAGTTTCTTCCCCTAAAACAAATATTCTCCTAATACATTTCTTTGTACTCTCAACTCATTACTACCCACTGAACCATAACCTTCTTAAACATTCTATGTCTTACTCATCATTGTATATCCTGCAGTGAGTCGTTAAGTGCTTGTACACAAATGATGCTTAAAAAAATAATATTTTCAGAATGGAAACAAATTCTTAGAAGCCAAATGGCCACTCTTTGAAATTCTTCTCCTTAAGTGGAGATAGTGGGATGATTTTTATTGCTCTTAATATCAATACTATCATGATAAAAATATTTTCAACTACTTAAATATACTGCCATCATATTTACCCTTTTGTGCTCTGCAGGTTCCTCTCTGGTTACCATTGAAAGTGCTGCTGAATCGAGTTTCCTGTCATATCGAGTTGAGCCACTTCAAAGCAAAGCCAACTTTTGGATAGGATTGTATAGAAACGTTGAAGGTAATCTTTGCACCATGATTACTGAATCACAAACATTTCAAAATGTTGTAGGTAAAACAAGTTTTCAGTCCTAGAAAGTCTTGCCTTAAGTAATGATTAATTTGTGAAGAGTTTGAAAATTCAAACTCATATTTTCATTTGAGGTAAGAAGTGAAAATTTAAATGACTCACATATTAGACTATCTTGAAAGTTGCTAATTAAAGAATATCTACTGTAGCTAAGTTAAAGAAGTTTTAAAAAATATTTTCTATCTCTTGCCAGGAAAAAAACAATTAGGGGAGGATAAGTTTACATATTTATACTAATTAGGAATAAATTTTCAACTAAAACTACATGAGAAACACATTCTCAGTTTCCCTGTAACAACTAGTTACTATTTTCTTGCCTGTGAAAAGTTTGGTTGTAAAACAGCTGTTGATTGCAGTATAAAATAACATGTTTAGAAATTTTACATGAATAAGTTGAATTTATTTTAAGGCAAGTTATTTTTAACTTCTATTTTTATTGGCTTTCTCTGATAATCAGGAATGTGGCTATGGATAAACAACAACCCACTCTCTTTTGTCAACTGGAAGACAGGAGATCCCTCTGGAGAAAGAAATGATTGTGTCGCTTTGTATGCATCTTCTGGATTTTGGAGTAATATTCACTGTTCTTCCTACAAAGGATACATTTGTAAAAGACCAAAATGTAAGTTAGAATTTGTCCTATGGTATGTGTGTTTCCAGGCTCCCATCTCTTTCACATATTGATATCAGGTGTGTAATTATCAATATAATGCGATTACAGGTTCCTTGAAACCTCTCCCTGGTTTTTTTTTTTTTTTTTTTTTTGTGGTACGCAGACCTCTCACTGTTGTGGCCTCTCCCGTTGCGGAGCACAGGCTCCGGACGCGCAGGCTCAGCGGCCATGGCTCACGGGCCCAGCTGCTCTGCGGCATGTGGGATCTTCCCGGACCGGGGCACGAACCCGTGTCCCCTGCATTGGCAGGTGGACTCTCAACCACTGCGCCACCAGGGAAGTCCATCTCCCTCTTTATAAGTGAGAAATCCAATCTGCCGTGGTGATCAGTTGCTGTCTGCAGTTTTGAGTGAGCACAAAACACTCTCTTTCTGCTTAACTGACATAATGATTTTGGTATATCAATACATTTATAATGGGATATCCATGCATATGGATTTGCAAAGTTGTGAGCAGTTAGGAGAGCCAGGCCTATGGCGTGCGAGAAGAATGGGTGAAATACTTACCCTGGCCAAACCAAAGTGGACGGTGAGGAGGAATGAGAATTTATTAAGGAATAAATCATGTAACACCAATTAAGTGTCCTTTGGAGAGTGAATGACAGACCATGTCAGGACAGGGGCTGGGGGAATTAATAATATTATATGCCCATGCTGTGATACTCTCTGGACTTCCATAATGTTTTATGCTATTCTACTTCATGTAATATCTTTCCCAAGAGACAAAATTATAAATTAGATAAGAGATTTAAATAAATGAGTTGGATAAATTAACACTCCATCCCCAGTAGATTTTTATTTTATTTTAGAATTGCGTAGTTCTTCATTCTTTGAAAGCTCTTTTCTAAGATACCACACCCTTTGGTGCAGTGTTGGAATCTTATTTTATTTTTCATTCAAATGCCTTGTAGTACCTTATGCTTCAGTGAGCCATTTTCAGAACTGCTAGCCTAGGATACATTATTTATGGGTAGATTGGGTATATTTTGAGGGTGAGTATCAGTGGCTCAAATGCAACCGGGGAGATCATATTTTCAGATCTTCCAATGTATTCAAACTCATCATGCAGCTATAGGATGCTGTTATAGGATGGATAGATAGATCAATCTGTATAAATATGCAGATTTTATCTATCAATCAATCATCCATCTATCTATCTATCTACCTATCTATCATCTATTTATTGTCTGTCTATATCATATATCACCATCAATCCAACACGGATGGTTTGATGTATTGGTAAACCAAATAATGCTCACTATCTACATGCAACTATTATGGGTTTTTAATAAGTATTTAATTATTTTCTTATTTTACAAACAGTATTTAATTATTTTCTTATTTTACAAACAGTTGTTGATGCTGAACCTACTCATACATTAATTACAACAAAAGGTAAGACCATTTTGAAATTTTAATTTCCCTATTAGTAATATATCAATCAAATTTGTTTGTTTTAAAAACCACAGTAATCCCTTCCTATCCGCCCTGCACTCTCAGTCGCATTTCTTGAGCTATACTAGCCTTTGTCATTATGACATCGACCTTCCTTAAGTGATGCCCTAGGAGAGCAGGCCTTGGCGTCAGGTGGGTGTTTTTATCGTAGATCTTACTGAGGACATTGATCGCTCTGTTACCAAGGGTTGCCCTATGAGAACCCACCGAGGACATTTCTCTTAGAAATCCCTGTGATTTTTTTCTTTTCTTTTTTTTTTTAAGCAATGTTTTAAGTTTTGATTTTATGGACAGCTTGAATAAGGAACTGATCCTCTTTCACTCATGTTGTTTGCTATAAATCTCAAAGTGAGATTTATAGCTTGCCTGAAGCCCCCTTATTAACTTCGTAAGTGCTGTCTGTGAACTAATACTCATGTGTTCAGATTTCCATCACTCACTTTCTTTTTTCCCCGAATTATTTTGAAACAGGTGTAAATATTTTAAAATGATAAAATGTTGCCCCGTGGCCGTAACTTTTGCAGTTTGAGGCGCAACTGTAAAACTCGCACAACTTTCTTGCTGTTTCACAATTTCGTAGATGGAAGATTCATTCCCACTGTAGATCTCAGCAACCTCAGCAAACTTTTTTTCTTTCCTTATTAAGTTGAGAACTTTTACCTTTTCACTTAAAGGAAGCACCTTATGGCTTCTCTTAGGCATATTGGAGTTGCCAGCATCACTACTCTTGGGCTTTGGGGCCATTATTAAATAAAATAAGGGTCACAGGAACACACACACACAAAATAAATAAAATAAAATATTATACCAGTTCAGGGCTACGTAGATACATGAAATATTCTTGCAACTGCATAATCATCTTAACATGTAAAATAATCTTCTGTATCACATGGACTTCTGTTTTCATGTCCTGCATTCTGTTTGGCAAATGTCACTGGAAAGAAAATTTGTGAATTTTAGTCTTCCTAAGAAGAAAGTTGTATTGTTTCCATAGCATTCTACTCTCTGCCTCCCCTTAACTCATTTCCTAACATGTTTATTTATTTACAGCTGACCCAAGGAAGATGGGCCCTTCCAAACCATCTTCCAACGTGGCAGGAGTGGTAGTCATAGTGGTCCTCCTGATTATAACGGGTGCTGGCTTCGCTGCGTATTTCTTTTATAAGAAAAGACGTGTGCCTTTCCCTCGAGAGGACACTTTTGAGAACACTCTCTATTTTAATAGTGGATCGAGTCCAGGAACTAGTGATACAAAAGATCTCATGGGCAACATTGAACAGAATGAACACGCAGTCATCTAGAATCACGGTGTGATTTAGGTATATTTGAATTTCATAAGATTATAACTAAAATGGTAAAGTCTTTCATTCAATGTGATTATTTCCTTTCAAATTAGTGCTGTATTACACTGGTCTGTCCTTTTCCTTTGCCTCATGGAAAAAATAACTGTTTATTTTCTAGCCTGGCAAGATATTTTCACAAAAAAAGGATAACGACATTGACTACTATGTTTAAAAAGATCTTAGGTGAATATACAGCACTGGTGTGTAGCTAGTGTCAACTGCATACAGATTACAAGAACCCCAGAAACAACCAGCTAAGCTTCTTGAAATCGTTTAAGGAGCTCCCAAAGAACTGTTACCCATTGAATAGTTATTCGGTAATTAGATGAGCATTTTAAAAGCCAAGTACAAATAACCTCGGGTGACACAAAAATTTAGTCACTTTTTTTCTTATACCCATCTTGATTTTTACCCCAATGATTTAGAATTATATTTTTACATGTGCAGAAAGAATAGGGCAGCTGAGAATCTTGTTTGCCCCAAGCAGGATTTTCCAGGCTGAATATTGCAAATGTGTTCTTTGTCCTGTTTTATGTATATCAAGAATGCAAAGATGTGAAATAAAAATATAAATTTGCATAACTGGATGTATTTAGATAATGTGAAATAGACATCAAAAACAAGGTCTAGGGCTTCCCTGGTGGCGCAGTGGTTGAGAGTCCGCCTGCCGATGCAGGGGACACGGGTTCGTGCCCCGGTCCGGGAAGATCCCACATGCCGCGGAGCGGCTGGGCCCGTGAGCCATGGTCGCTGAGCCTGCGCATCCAGAGCCTGTGCTCCGCAACGGGAGAGGCCACAACAGTGAGAGGCCCGCGTACCGCAAAAAAAAAAAAAAACAAGGTCTATTTTTAATGGATTTGTATTTTGGTGATCTTGGTAAGTGTAAATTTTCTTTTAACTGAGATTTATTTATCCGTTTACTTTACACTTCACTGTACTCTGAAAATAAATGATATTATTAGTAGAGGAATTCTTTAAACTCTTCATCTGTTTGGAAAAAAAAAAGATTGTTAAAACACTGTGCATAAAATGAATTTTTTACTGTAATGACTTGGCCAGTTTCCCTGGATCTTTCCCCTGTAACACTGACTTATTTCAGAATTCAACAATCAAAGGCGCTGTTATTGGGAATTAGGTCTTTAATATCATTTTCTCACTTTAACAATTCCTTTTTGCTTAAAAAGTTTTGCCTTAGATAAAGCTTTATGTACATTGTGAAATACATTGGAGGTGTCACATCTTGCAGGGTACCACGCTCCCAGCTCATTCTTGCCTTTTCCAAGGGGTTGCTCACGGGCAGAAATTCCTTACCTGAGGTCCCTAAACAGGACTCCTTAGATGGCATTAAGGGGTCTATGAAGGCCCCCCAAATTGTATGCAAAATCTCTATTTGTGTTTATGCCTTTTTTTTTTCTGGGAAGAAAATAGCTAGATTTTCAAGAGAGTCTGTAATTCAAAAAGGACTACGTAGTGTACTGTGTACACAGGAGGTAAGGTGAGGTTTGCAATACCCCACCTTAGATAGGTGACAGGTACAAAGAAACAGGATGAGAGAGGTGGGCAATTGTGGGAAAGCTTGCTGAGAACAAGCAACTCTCATGCTTCAGACAATAGAAAACCAATTGCTTTTATTTTCCTGGTAAGAACACAACATATTCCATTAGAGGAAGTTCCAGTGGAAACAATGGCTATGGTGTCAAAGGAGCATGTGGTTAATTATACTGAAAAAAATCTTCATATATACATATTTTTTTCTTTTAAGATACAAGAGAAAGATGTGAAAGAGGAGTGTATGAGTGGGCACGATTTACAAATTCTTTACACAAGTCATTTTCATCATAACTCAGAGCTGCGTTTTTGCAGAAAATATTTTGGACTTCAAACAACATATATCTCAGACTTAAATGTCTTATCCTTTCAAGAAACTGTATTCGGCAGGGTGCTGAGTTTTATGCTTCACACCCTCACATTATCCACTCAAACATACAATCAAATAGATAAGTCACCTGTATCTATATATGTACCCAAATTAAGTAGTAACATATTAATAAGCATTTTTTTTGCAGGGGGGGAAGTTTTATAAAGCAGAGAAGAGCAGTTTTTGTTTTGTTTGCTTTTTTGCATTTCTTTTTGGTTTTGGTTGTTGTAGTTGATTTGTTTTTGTTTCTGTTTAAATAAATTTATTTATTTTATTTATTTATTTTTGGCTGCATTGGGTCTTCATTGCTGCACTCAGGCTTTCTCCAGTTGCGGCGAGCGGGGGCTACTCTTTCATTATGGTGCACGGGCTTCTCCTTGCAGTGGCTTCTCTTGTTGTGGAGCATGGGCTCTAGGTGCGCAGGCTTCAGTAGTTGTGGCACATGGGCTCAGTAGTTGTGGCTCACGAGCTTAGTTGCTTCGCAGCATGTGGGGTCTTCCTGGACCAGGGCTCGAACGTGTGTCCCCTGCATTGGCAGGCGGATTCTTCACCACTGCGCCACCAGGGAAGCCCCTGTTTTTGTTTTTTAACTGGAAATTCTTTCTGGGGATTAAATGTTTAAGTGCTCTCCTCAGTGGCTTTGCACTTGTTTTCATCAGAATTCCGCAGCCAGAAGATTCTTAAGGATATTTTTTTCCCAGGTGAACTCAAAACAATGTGAATAGTCTGTAACTTGAACTCTAAAATTAAAGATGATATCTTGAGAGACTGGTAATATCTTGCTTCATCCATTTTCAGTGTTCACTCAGCCATCTGTTTGTACATTTACCCATTAGTTCAGGAAATATTCCATGAGCACCTAATACATATGCCAGGCATTGAGCTAGGTCCTGGAGATTCAAATATGGGTGAGAAGCATTGCTTGTCCACAAGAACTGCACAGTCTAGTGGACATCCAGACACAAAAGATCATTTTGGGGGAAATTTTTGTTGATATATACTTGATGTACACTATTATATAAATTATAGGTGTTCAATATAGTGATTCACAATTTTTAAAAATTATACTCCATTTATAGTTATAAAATGTTGGCTATATTCCCAATGTTGTACAGTATATCCCCATAGCTTATTTTATACCTAACTGTTTGTACCTCTTAATCCCCTACCCTTATATTGCCCCCCAGCCTGTAACCACTAGTTTGTTCTCGATATCTGTGAGTCTGCTTCTTTTTTGTTATGTTCACTAGTTTGTTGTATATTTTAGATTCCACTGGTAAGTAATACCATACAGTGTTTTTCTTTCTCTGTCTGACTTATTACTTAGAATAATGCCCTCCAAGTCCATCTGTGTTGTTGCAGATGGCAAAATTTCATTCTTTTTTATGGCTGAATAATATTCCATTGTGTATATATACCATATCTTCTTTATGAATTCATCTGTCGACAGGCACTTAGGTTGCTTCTGTATCTTGGCAATTGTAAATAATGGTGGTTTGAACATTGGGGTGCAGGTATCTTTTAGAATTAGTGTTTTCTCTCTTTTTTGGGATATATACCCAGGAGTGGAATTGCTGGGTCTTATGGTAGTTCTATTTCAGTTTTTTGAGAAACCTCCATACTGTTTTCCACACTGGCTGCACCAGTTTACATTCCTGACAACAGTGTGTAAGGATTCCCTTTTCTCCACATCCTCTCCAGCGTTTGCAATTTGTGTTCTTTTTGATGGTGGCCATTCTGACAGGTGTGAGGTGATAGCTCATTGTGGTTTTGATTTGCATTTCCCTGATGATTAGCAACACTGAACATCTTTTCATACGCCTGTTGGCCATCTGTATTTCCTCTTTGGAAAAATGTCTATTCAGGCCTTTTGCCCATTTTTTAAAATCAGGTTGTTTGTTTTTTTGATGTTGAATTATATGAACTTCCAAAACCTCATTTTTAACGTAATGGAATCTTTAAAGACACTACCTCTGAATTCAGTCACATTCTGAGGTTCTATGTGTTAGAGCTTCAACATATGAATTTGGCGGGGGACACAGTTCAGCCCATAACATACTTCTATAATGCTTTTTTTTTGATTGTCCCTTGTATTTGTAGGGTTCTCCAGAGAAGTGGAACCAAAGGGCTCTATACATCTATCCATCAGTTATCTGTGTCTATCTGTCATCTATCTATCATCTATCTATCTATCTATCATCTATCATATTTTAATCTACTTACCTACATACTCTATAGATTTATTTAAAGAACTGGCTCATGCAACTTGGAGCTTGGTAAGTCCCAGATATACAGGAGAGGTCGGCAGGCTGAAGACCCAGGGAAGAGTTACAGCTTGAGCCCAAAGGCAGTCTGGTAGCAGAATTCTTCTGGCTCTCTGTTCTCTTCAGGCCTTCAGCTGATTAGATGAGGCTTATCCACACTGTGGAGGGTAATCTGCTTTACTAAAAGTCCACCAGGGCCCAGCCAAGGGGACACATAAAATTAACCATCACACCACTTTATATGGCAATGGTTTTGTCATTTTTTTTTATAAAGGGAAAAGAAAGATGATGCAGTCTTTAGTACAATTGATCAGAATTTTTAAAAATCTTTGATAGTTTAGAAAAGGTTCTTTTAACCATACAACTTGCTATTGATAACATGATATAAATTTTTAGGATTATGGTCAAATATAGGAACATTTCTATTAAATTTCATTCATATACATATTCATATTCTAATATTTCTAAATATTCATATGCTAAATTTCAGGGCACTCATTTTGAGTCTTTTTTTTCTTTTTTGTGCGATAAGTAATCTCAAATACCTTTGAATTTGATGATACTCACTAATCAGTTTGTTGATATTGTTTTTCTAATGGCATATTTTGATTGTTTTGGTGAGGTTGGTATTTTGTGTCAAATCAGTAAAAATTGAAATCTTTTTCTAATATGTTCATATGATTCACTTTTCTTCATTCCCTTCATTAACTAAGTTGACATAAAACCTATGAGTCTCTTCCCTACTTCAACTTGAAATTTAGCTCTTCCTTCCTTTTGGAGTTATCTGAAAATTCTCTTGTTCTTGTTTCTATCCTGATCTCAGAATAATTTCTATCGGTTTTGTGGCTAGGTTTTTGCTTTATTTCATATTACCTTTAACTTACTTGCATTTTCTCCTAATTATTTAATAAATAAATTTTAAAATGAAAAAATAAAGTATATTTTCTATACATCCAAATCTGCAGTCTGCCAGTATCTATGGAAGAATTTGCTGTTTCATTGAAATGTTCCAAAAATGTTTTCCTAGTTACATATTCCAAGTCGTATATTTGGTAAAGCTCCAATATCACAGTCCTATCAAAAAAGAAAATAAGTGTAGTTCTTTTATCATTGTATATACTATGTTACTTAGATCTTCCATTTTGACTAGGCATTGATGATAACTGAAATTTCTACTTACATTTTTACACTCTGGAAATTGAAAGAATTTCTATAGCTTCTGGTTTCATGTATTTAATTGTTTCTCCTCTAATTGCAACTTACTTTGGTCCCATGTACATTACAATACACTTATATTGCTGTGTAAACCCTGGTCTTCAACCTTTCAGTCAAGACTGGATAATTTGGTACAGTGGATTAAGTATATTACTAGAAGCTATTTGTGAGGTGACTTTTTGGTGTGTCAATTTTACTAGGCTGAACTACAGTATTCAGTTAATCAAACATG